ATGTATATTAATTACTCGACCTTAACTTTTTGCCTATGTAAACCAGGGCAATAATCAAAGACAAAGCATTTCTTTTTTCACCCGATCGAAGAAAAAAGTCACATGTACAAGATAATTGCAGAGCTAATTTACAGATCATTGTCAACAAATTATTCAAAACGAAAAATTCCAAAGTATTTAATTATTTACAATTGACTATTTTAAATACCAATTGCAATTAACACAATATTATTTAAATTGATGTGTGATTTTAAAATTGTATTTATTTATTTTGAATTATAAAATATAGCAAAAAAAAACTAACTATAACATTATTTATTATTATCAAAAAATCATTTAGAAATTTGGTTTTAATGGTTTCTTTTTTGTAAATTTTTCCAGCTTCATTTGGAAAGTATCTACAAATATTTAATGGATCATTATAATAATAATAATAATAATAAATAATTAAACAATTTTTACATTAAAATTAATTTAAATCGTAATTCTTTTTATTTTTATTTGGTAATTGGTTTATTTTTAATAGACTATTTATAATAATCAATAGACCATGGATAATTGAAAACTATTGTTTTTTTTTACTTAAATTGTAATTTATTTAATGTCACGTTAATCGACTTCAAATCAAAACGTGATTGTCCTATATATAAAAAATAATAATAATTTTAATATTTAAACATATTAAAAGTTATTACATAATATTAGTATATTATTTATCAAGTTTAATAAACGCCATTCTAGTTACGAACTTTAATTAGGCACGAGCGAGCCAGCGAGCTAGTGTTTAATTAAATGAGTAAATACCTATTATCTAAAAAATAAAGTGAAGAAAATGTTTTATGGGCACTACACCCAAAATTTTTAAAGGAAAAGGTCCATTATTAAACTAAATAAAAATAATAGCATAACCATTAAAACCCATTTTTCCCAGAATGGAGGTGGGCCAAAGTTTGACTGTAGGTATGTGTTTTCATATTCATGTAGGTAACTAGAAAATATTTATATGTAAATTACTTTTAATAAAAGTAGAAGTAATTTAAGCAATACTAAAAAACTAAAAAATCGATTAAGAAATGAATATTTTACCATGGTACCTATTAGGAAATGATAAAATACGTTATTTTTGTTACATTTAAAAATCATCACTTAATTTGTAAAAATATCGAAGGGGCGGGATTATTATGCAGGTGGTTGTAAAATTATACTAGTTTTTTTTACAGTTTTTAATCATAATATTTATTTAATGTCATTATAAACTATTATAAATTTGGTGTGGGTCCCATGTCTAATAACTGAGATATTGGTATACATAATAATATTATTAAAGAACTTCTTTTACGTTTTCAATTAATAAAGTGGCTTAGTCTTGAACCAGTGGCGGCTGGCGCAAACAGAATTTAAATTGAAGTTTGCGAAAAAAAGTTAGTTTTTCCTGTCGCCTCACCCGCCTCCAGGCCCCCTATTTGAGATAATTGAAATTAAAGTGGTGCAATTTATTATCTACTATAATTTATCGACAAATTTAAAATTTTATTTAAAAAATCCAAATATTACAGATTTGATTCGATTTTAAATTTTTATTATTTATTTTGACAACAAAAAGTTTCCGGAATCTAGTTATCTTATGTTCATGCAAGAAATCTATGCTGAATTATTTCGATTTATTAATGAATCACCCTGTATACGTTTTTTGTTTTAAATAAAAATAATTTGCAAATTAAATCCCGGCGCATTCACCATTTTTGCAAAATAAATTATTTTAATACGATTTTTCAATTTATTTTAACGCATTTTTCGGTTACTTAATAATTAATTTAAAAAGTATTTTTTGGTTAACATACAGGGGAAATGGTAGGAGTATGGCAATTTTAAGAACTTTGTTAGAAAAAAGTTTTTTAACTGTTTTGGTGGTATTTCGTTTGATTCAATATCTCGAAACGTTGTTGGAATCTTAATAACAGGTACCTCATAAAAAATTATAAATATTAACATAAAATAAATTAACACCTGGAAACAAAACAAGTTATTTAGTTTTTTATCAAAAAATTATTAGTTATTGACAAACCGAATAATGAAATTTTACCGGGTGATTCATTAATATTGCGAACATATTTAGGATGAAATGAAGAGATGAAACAGACATTTTAAAACTATCGATAAAACTATCGATAACGATCGGTAGTTGCATTACCGATCATCGAAAACTATCTATCGATAGTGCTTAAACTCTAGACTGAAGAAATGATTTCGCACAGTGGGGCAAACATTGTTTTTGAATTTCAGCAGACTCGGACACAGATGAACAGGAAGTACTACAAGGCCAGCAAGGATAGGTTGCGTTTTGTGGGGTTAGGTCATAGCAGCGTACTAACCAACCAAGCGAAGTGTTCGTACAGAACTGAGATATTTTTCTGAAACACTCGAGTTTATACTCCCATTAGATACGGTTCTATAACTTGAAAGAGGCAAACAAAAAAGTAAAAAAATGAATTAAAAATAAAATAAATAATTACTAATTAAAGTGGATGTGGACTCCACACTGTAGAGTGGTTTTATAAAAAGATCTTGCGTCCCGTACAAGAATAAAAAGGTTTCACAGTTATTGGATTAATAAAAGGAAATAAAAATAAAATGGTAACATTTTTAGAAGAAATAGAACGGAAATATCGTGTTATAAGAACTTTTTTCGAATGTCCGCCGCTGATTTTCGTTATTTGCTAGACAAAGTAAAGTTCAGTATAAGTCGATTAACTGCAATTACATTTTTTCTATTTAAACCTTATGTTTTACAAGTTTTACTAGAGCTCACCCTAAATCCGCCACTAAATATAGAGTTTGGAAGTTTAATTTTGGCGCATTCACCATTTTTTACAAAATTGGTGGTGATTTTTAAATAAAACCAAAATAACGTTCTATCTCGTTATTTTACAATAACAAAAAAGGATGTTATACAGGGGATAGCAATAAAGTATAAAACATTATAAAAAATGATAATTTTAACCTTAGGAGATGCATACAGGGTAGCTTATTGAAAACAGTCTAGCAAGGCTTTGTATGTAAAAATAATAAAAATCTTCGGATCAAAGTTTATGCCAGACAGCCTGAATCTTTAGAAGATTTACAAATTACAACCGACATTCTTCACAATGTCCGGGAACACTTAGAACAGTTGCTTTACTATAGTAAAATATATTGTATGGAGGTCAACGGCGTGTATTTTCAACAGCTTATAAGATAATACGTAAGTACTAATTAATAAAATTAAATAAAATTTCTTGGTAACCGGTAGTATAAATTTAAAAAACGAAACGGCATTTTAAAGAAAATGTAATGCCCTTTAAAAAAAAAGTATCACAACATACCCCTTCCCATTTGAAAAAATAAGGGTGAATGCCGCCCCCTCTGAGGGGTTGAAGTTACAGTGATGAAATTAATGTGTAAATATGACCTCCTGCAAACAAAAATATACGGGTCCAAAGATTAAATTTTATTTTCACGTACAGCCGTTATAACTTTGTTGCTTTCGATGGGCCACCCTATATAAAACTTTTGAAAATTATTAAAAAATATATTTCTCCCAAATAAATAGTAAAATTATAAAATACATGAATACTTATGTATATACGAGGTGTACACGTGTTCAGAAAATATCGGGAATTTTCGTTTTTTAAAACAAATATTTATTTATTCGTCTACATTAATGTTGTCGCCTTCAAAATAGTCCCCATTGGATATTATGCACATGTGCCAGCTCTTCTTCCAATACTCGAAACACTTCTAAAACTCGATCTTTGGGATAGCCTTTAGTTCTTTCAGCGATGCGCTTTTAATGTCATCTATGCTTGCAAAACGACGGCCCTTTAAGGTTCTCTTTATTTTTGGGAATAGAAAAAAGTCAGACAGAGGCATGTCTGGCGAATATGGAGGCTGGGGCATCATTACAGTATTGTTTTTGGCCAAAATTGTTGTTCAAAATTTAACAATTTTAGAACAAATTTTGTTGCCACGCGTTTCATACCCAAAACATTCGAAAAAATTTCATGGGATGAGCCAATCGATATACCAACATCATCAGCGACTTCTCTGATGGTTTATAACCATTTCTTCCACTTTTTCCATGTTTTTATCGGTTGTTAATGCGCTTGTGCGTTCGGGGCGTTCGTCATCTTCAACGTCTTCACGGCCATCTTGGAAACTCTTATAGCACTTGTAAACTCTTGATTTACTCACTATAGGCCTTTGTTAACATTTCACAGAATTTATTTAATTTTTTAAGCAAAATTGGATGCAAATTCTTTGATCCATTTCTTTTAACGAACGAAAAATCGCCGAGCTCTTAAAACACGCCTAACCTTAGCGGCTGCCACAGACAAAGTAAACAATATAAACAGCTAAAGTTTTATTATACATAATAAAGAAAATTTTATGACAAGCGGACCCTCCGAACCCGCGAAATTTAACAATTCCCGTTATTTTCTGAACACACCTCGTATACTTAGTTTATAAAATAAAATATATTATTCTTATCATATTTAACATATTTTCGCGGTTTTTACTACAGGTACGTAAGTAAATTTAAATTGTAAATAGTTTGTCATAGCTTAAAAGTTAAAAATAAAATAAGTACTATAAAACATATTTTGTATACTACTATTGTTTTATTTTTTAAGTAAACACTACATAATAAGGTGAATCTTTTTTGTTCAAGATCACTGTGTCAAGGATATAACGCTCTGTATATTTGCATCGCACATCCTGAAGGTCTTTTTTCAAGCAAGCTGTGAATTTAAATCAGCAAACAATTATCTACATTTATTGCGAAACACTTAAATCTATGTTTAAAATATAGCCTTATTTAAAGTCGAATTAATTAAATTTTCCACTTAACAATTCAAGTCTTATCAGACTAATGGAGATAACAAACTAAAAATATTAAATAGAAAGCGTGCGGTCAGGAAATCTTTTTGGTTTTTTATTAGTGTTTTTTGTTTTGGACTCACTTTGGCCTCGTTCATTGTTTCCATATGGTTCCTCATGTATCCTGGGCAAAAGCAGTGAGTTTTCGTTGTGGACCTCATTCATTCTAATCAGATATTTCGGACGAACTATGTGATACACATTGTATGAAAACATACTGAGTGCTTTTGTATTTTTGACGGTTTTTATCTTTCCGTATTTAGCTGTGAGTTGTTATTGATTTAATGTCCCTGTCACTACTAAAAACTAGGAATATTCCGTTTGTTTTGATTATATCTGTGTTTATTGTTATTTTTGGGTCATACAAGTTATGTGACCTTTTTTATTATCAAACTATTGTTTACTGCCAAACTAATTATGTAAGAAAACAACATTATAGGTATTGGAAATGTTTAGTCATTATTAATCAATATAAAATCTGTAAATTTTGTTAAATAATATTTAGTAAATATTTCCTCAAAACTTGCATATGGCGTGCACTGTTTTTTTAATTTTCAAAAAATTCACTTTTTGAAATAAATGTATAGGAAAATTTTGGGAAATCTCAGAAAAATTTGAAATTTGTATTACGCGTAAGCAGGGGTGAGATGTATATACATCTCGCTGCTATCTAATCATTTATCGACATTTAAATATTTAGGGTGTTTAAAATGTATTTTTTTTTATTTAAATTTTTTACATTAAATTAAACATTTATTCATCTTTCGCCACCAGCAACGGCACGGCTTCACCCGTGTTTGCTGGGTGCGAATGTCAATTGCGACCCGTACTGTCCCCTATTTAGGACTCAAGAACGAAATGCCAATAGTTTTAATAGCCATTCCCGGGTTCGCCGGGCCGATGTTATACTTACGCCCAGTAGACATGAAGGAGGTAGGTCGGGAGGGATAGACATTTTGGTGTTTGGGGGACAATTACGCCGACTCAAATCTAAGTACGAAGCGGTAACCCCCTAGACCATTCAACTATGGGATTACTGTATGGAGTTCGGGAGTTCTAAGTGTCTGTTTATTTGTTCTGGTTTGGTTTAAAGTTTATTTTGTTGGGGCCGTTCTCTTAAATTAATGGGTTTATTGCCTTACGCGTTTGTTGATGACAGATTTATTGTCCTACTCAGCTTTTGTGTAAACGACTGTAGGATGGGGCGGTTTTGTTTTTTTTTGTTATTTGTCTTTATTTTTGGTATTTGCTTACTATTGTCTTACTAATGTTACTATTGTTACTGATGCACTTTGTTTACTTTATGTTTTTTCTACAGTTTAAGCAAAGCCTAACTTAGGTTTTAAGGTAACTGTGGTGTCCAATGTTGCAAATTATGTATTAGGTCATGCAGATGTTTAAGGTTACTTATCCGATTTTGCAGATTGTCCTTTCCTCCCTTGGTTGTCCTCTTCGACAGTGGTAAGGCCGCCCTGTAGCTGACACTTATCACTTCACACTTTCTTTTATTTCCACTTTAGTAATTATTTGTGGGTTTAGGCTTTCATGTTTTGAGAGGTCGTACGTGACTAAACACCTATAGTCTACCTAAAAAATATACGCTGACATTAAACCGTGACGGCTACTTTTTAATACCCTGTACAAAAAAACAAGTAAGTTATATTGGGAAATATTTTATTATCATCAATTAATATTTTTGTTACGAAAACAATTACAAAAGACCCTCACATGCTATATGTCTAGTTCTTAGACAAATTCAATAAATTCGCTACAGATATTCAATTACATTAATATAATATATTATGTTAAATTGATAGATAAAATCACATTTAAGCACACTTATATACAATAATACATATTAAATTCAAGGAAAATGCATACCTAAAAACAATTATTTGATATTTCACACATTCATCAATAAATTGGCCCTTTGCAGTATCTATTTAATTTACTTACAGAATGGGCCATAGTACTCTTTATTGTTTCCTACCTAATAAATTATAGTCAAATGTAACTAAATTGGTTTCTTTGCTATGACCCATACTGTATCATATGCCTCACAACAATTATTTACATTGAAGAACTATTTAGTGTTAGGTGGGCTCTTTTTTAGGGCCCTTACGGATGCCCTATGTTTTTTTCCAGGAGTAATACATTTCCAGGGGCCTGTTTACTTTCCAGTACTTATCGTTGACTTGTCCCAAAGTCTGGTTACCATTGAGCTGAACGTACTGCTGCCCTGATCCGGGCTGCACGTAGATGCAGAAGTTCAGCAGGCTATGCGTCGTGGACAACTGCGAATCCAAGTCCAAAGTCAAACGCATCGCGAGATACTTGTGCAGGTGGTCGACGGTAGCGTTCGCAGTGGTTTTGATGTACCGTATGGAGTTTTCCTTCAGCGCTTTGACCAAGGAATTATCGCCCAGCATTTCCGTGGGGTGCGGCTTGAAAACCAACTCGATTTCGTTGATCGTCATGGGTTCGGGTTCGCCCTCCGTGTCGGTTTGCTCCGTTCGTTCGCTCGACTCGCTCTCCTCGGCTTCCGAACGTTCGGACGTCAGCGTGCTCTTCGGCCGCTTGCCGAACGACTTGCTGGCCGAGCTGACGCTCGACGAGACGGGACTGGGCGGTTGCGAGGGCGTGCTGCGCCCACTGGGCGCCGGACTGCCTGGCACGGTGCTGTTGGCCGCGGGCGCTGTAGGTGCTGCGTTTTGTACGGTTGGAGGATTTTGTGGCTAAAAATTAAAACTATTATTTATGGCGAGTTCGATTTTGTCTTTTGTGTGCATCGCTCGATGAAAAAGTGTGAAAAATAGCTGACTGACACAGGAGGGACAAAATTGGATTCCGGTATATTTGGACAAGATCGCAAGCTTTGACCTTATAGCGAGGTATTTTGTGATTTGTACACGAGAATTAGTGGATGATTCAAGATTGGAAAATTCACATGTCTGTGGGTGGATGGCTTAGTGAAGCGCATGGACGTTAATACTTGTTTCTGGTTCGAGACCATTAAGTCTTTTTGCCACCAAGAAAGAAGAAGAAGAATTATTTATGGCAAGCCGTTTTACTTTTTAATCGAATAAGAACTATTAAGTTAAATATTAACCTTAAAAAATAATTTGCACTGTAAAATAGTACGTTCAAAATAATACATATAATTATACATGCCAAAGATTTAACTATGATTTCGCGAAAGAATCGAACGATCGATTTACAACACATCTCAGATTTTTTTTTTATTTTAATATTTTGTTTATACATCCAATTTAACACTAAATCTAAAATTTTTCTTTCATCTGACTTAAACTTTAGCTCCTAGAAACCATTTAATTTTGCCTTTCACAAAAAGGCCAAATTCCATTATTTTGCCATACATTTTTTATTAAAATACTGAATGATTTGAAATTTGGCCCATATATGACCCCTATTAGTACCTACAATTCTGTCAAAAAAAGTTTTAATTTTTTACATACAGGTGGCGCTGCAATTTTTTTTTCTTCGAAAATAGACGTTTTTTGAAGACCAAACTAAGGAACTCCAGGTGATGGCTTTTATTGGTAACTATAAAACTTATAAAACGCAACAAAAAAAAGTTTTATTTTTTTACATACAGGGGGCGCTGCAGCCTTTTTTTCAAAAATAGACGTTTATAAAGACCATAAAGTTACTTAAGCAACATTGCTTAAAAAACTAATGACATTATTTATAATGTATCAGATAATATAGATATTCTTTTATTGTTTGACATATAAAAATTTATTTGCAATAATTAATGCCTGTTGTAGGGACGATTAAAATTATAACTAGTGCACGTACCCGCATATTGTTGTATAAACGCCTTTTTTCGCTTTTATTGTTGTATGCGGAGAAAAGGTAACAAAACCAAAGAAATTTTAATTACAAATGGTAACAAGTATTTCAGTGACTCTATAGTAATAGTAATAGTAATATGACCATTTGTTTAAATATATTTTAGTATATTTCGAGAGGCAAAGCATTCTTTATTATCGTACTTTAAAATTAAACTAAAGCCAAGCCTATAGGCTGGGAATCAAGTTACCCCAACAGTTGACAGTTACTGTCAAACGGTAACCATAATAACATTTAAAATTTTGCCGTTATTACAAAAGTTGAAATTGGAGAGGGAAAATATCATGCTTTTAAAGGTACGCAAAGTTAATAAATTTTCTTTAAGTAAATCAAAATTCTAGGAATTGAATTTTCTTCTGGAGTAAACATGAAAGTTCCTTGGACATCATCGAGTCGAAAAAAGGAAAATCTAAATAATTTAAAAGCAATTAAATATAGGTGCGACGAATTACTTTGCAGTAGGGTTTTTGAAAATGAAGATGATCTTCTAAACCACCTTAAATTTCAAAATCATAAATTTCCTGAAATTAGACAAACTATAGGTGATGTTGCTAGAATGGAATTTTTAAAACAAAAAGATGTTTTAACTGCAACTAGTTCAACAATATCTACCGTCAATATATGCCCAAATGAAGAAGATAAAAATACTTTTTTTCGAGTATATGCAAAAGGGTTCGGAAGGCGCAAAATTAAAAAATCACGTTTTAATGAAAAACAAAAAGATTTTGTTGGCAACCTTTTTGAAGAAGGTGAAAAAACTAAAATTAAATATACCTACGCCTGAATATATAGCAACACTGTTGGCGTATATTTAATTTTAGTTTTTTCACCTTCTTCAAAAAGGTTGCCAACGAAATCTTTTTGTTTTTCATTAAAACGTGATTTTTTAATTTTGCGCCTTCCGAACCCTTTTGCATATACTCGAAAAAACGTATTTTTATCTTCTTCATTTGGGCATATATTGACGGTAGATATTGTTGAACTGCTGCAACAGCTTTACAAAATTATGAAGTAAATGGCAAATTTTAGTTTTCTTCAAACGAGTATATGCATCCTAATCAGATACGGGGCTTATTATCAAGATTATCGTCAGATAGAAGGTTAAACAAAAATAGAAAAAGAAAATTAAAAAATTTGCCGGAAGAAATTGAAGAAATTAGCCCAGAAGCGGATGAAGTTTTTTGAAGTTTTATGAGTTTTAAAGTAGTTCCTTTGCGGCCTAAGTAACTTTTAAGTTATAAATAACCCTGGTTAAAATCTCTAGACTGATTCTGAGAATCGCTTTAGAGATTTGAACCAGCCAGTATGATATAAACCAGGGTTATTTATATCTAAAAAGTTAGCGAATATACCCCTTAGAGCCCAACAAGTTTAAAATTTAATGTAAAGGTAATAATTATTATTATTATTATAATAATTATTAGGATATATCTTTATTATTTAATATATGCAAATCTTGCAGATAAATTGAAATAGTAATATCAATAATAATAATAAAGAAAAACATAATAAATAAAATAAAGAACAAACCTATTAAATAAATAAAGGAATACATATCTATATTATCTGAAATGCTATATAGTTTTTAAAGAAAAAAGGCTGCAGCGCCCCCTGGGTGTGAAAAAATAAAAGTTTTTTTTTTGCTGTGTTATTGTTACCAATAAAAGTAATCTCCTGGAATTCCTTAGTTAATAAATAAGAATAAAGTTGTAAGTGTAATTCAATTTTTTTTAATGCGGTAAACAAAACTTTAAGTTGGCTTTACGGGCGGCAACATCATTTGCAAGTAAATTTTTATATATCAAATTATAAAGGAATATGTATATTATCTGGTATACTATTTAGTTTTTTTGAGCATTGTTGCTTAAGAGAGTTTTTGGTCTTCAAAAAACGTCTATTTTTGAAGAAGAAAAAATTGCAGCGCCACCTATATGTAAAAAATGTAATTTTTTTTTGGTAGAATTGTAGGTACTAATAAGGGTCATTTATGGACCACATCTCAAAACATTCAGTATTTTAATAAAAAAATTATGCTAATATAATGAAATTATGGCTTTTTGCGAAATGTAAAATTAAATGGTCTCTGGGAGCCAAAGTTTAGGTCAGATAAAAGAAAAATTTTAGATTTAGGGTGGAATTAGATGTATAAACACAATATTAAAATATAAAAAAAATCTGAGATGTGTTATAAAAAAATACCCCAAAATCGTTCGATTCTTTCGCGAAATCATAGTTAAACAGTTAAAAATTAGTTTATCTATTTTGACTTCATTATAACACCGCTTTCGGTGATGTAATGAGATTCTTTATCCCACTCAAAATTTTGATTTTATAGGTTGGCTATACTTTAAACAGCATAATATTTTGCATATTGGTTATAATATTTTTATGTTATCCATAGTAGTTTTGTCCTTTTAACAAATTTTTTGAGGTTAGGTTTGTGGGTATTAGGACAGGAAAATTAAAACTTATTTTAAATTCGCCGACGTTTCGAGGGCATTTACTGCTCTCTTCCTCAGGGCTAAAATACAACAATGACACAATTACTTTTATAACTAAATACTTCTAAAAACAAATTTCGTAAAAACTTTGAAGAACACTGGACTCACCTAATTCAAAAAATGTATTGACAGCTCAGTCATATCGTCAAACATATATACCGCAAAACGGCATGTAATAAAATAATCCAATACAATAAGAAACCAAATAATCCAATAATAAGAAACCTTCTGATAGAATGACATTACAATAACAAATGATAACGGTACATTTGAACTACTTAATTGGAAATTTTATGAAGATATGCCTACGCTGCAAAACACTACTACTAATACTATATAAATTTACCTTCAAACAGTGGCCAAAACATATACATAATAAATTATAAATACAATAAAATCTTTCTACAAACATTAAAACTAACAAATAAATACGAATAAAGTACAAATCCAACTTAAACCCTATTTTTATACTTTTCTATCAAAGCATTATAGCTTCCACTTAAATTCTGAGTGTCAGTTCTTAAATTAACAGTATTATTTAGCTTTATATACACCATCTCACCAATATTTCTTTTGTACCGATTAACTTCTTTGTCACATATAATTATGTTGTTAAAATCAAAATTGTGATCTTCCGTAAAATGGTGTATCGCCAAGGCCGTTTTTTCTATCTTTGTTGAATTTTTTGCCGAACAATCATTTTTATGTTGACTATACCGCTTTTTGGCGTATTGGCTCGTCTGGCCAACATAAAACTTCTCGCAGTGAAGACATTTAATTTTGTATATAATATTTGATTGAAGCTCCTTGGGTACTTTATCCTTTAATTTACTAAACAAAGATCCAGTTCCCAAAATGTTATAAGAAGCAGTAACTATATTCTCTTTTCCTAAAATATTTTTAATCTGGTTTGTCAGACCTGGCACAAACGGAAATTTAACAAACCACTGTTCTTCTTTTTTTATCATTCTGCATTCATTCCTGGTTCTATTATGTATAAATTCCTGGATAATACGATTCGTAAAGTTGACAGGGTATCCATTATTCTTTAACATTATCCTTATCTGATCTAAATTTTCCTGTTGAAATTGTTGGTCACTCAGTTTATAAGATCTGTGTAGTAGGTTTTTTATAGTATTCACTTTATGAGTGGTCGGGTTATTCGAATAGAAATTTAATATCCTGCCCGAATAATAGGATTTTCTATTCCAGTTGGTGATAAGTGAACCGTCTGGTAGCCTGTGAACCATTGTATCCAAGAAACATATCTTATTCTCGTCTTCAACCTCCATAGTAAATTGTATTTTCCGATGAAAACTATTAAACGTCTTTAATATCATCTCCAGTTTATTTTTTGGGGCAGCCAAAAATGAGTCATCCACATATATTTTGAAAAACGCCAATTCAAAGGGCAATTTGGATAAAACTACTTTAATTAATTTATGTAGGACAAAATTAGCTAAAATTGCGGTATATATGTTTGACGATATGACTGAGCTGTCAATACATTTTTTGAATTAGGTGAGTCCAGTGTTCTTCAAAGTTTTTACGAAATTTGTTTTTAGAAGTATTTAGTTATAAAAGTAATTGTGTCATTGTTGTATTTTAGCCCTGAGGAAGAGAGCAGTAAATGCCCTCGAAACGTCGGCGAATTTAAAATAAGTTTTAATTTTCCTGTCCTAATACCCACAAACCTAACCTCAAAAAATATTTTTATGATTTTTCTACTACTTACGAGACTTTTCTGGCAATAAATTTTGTTTAACACCAAAGAAAATTAATTTTGACATTAACTGTCAAACCAATGACTGTGATCCCAACTATCTAAAGTAAAATTCAACCAAATTAAATTTAGTGTATAAAATACAGAATTTTTGCAAAATAGATAAAATAGCATAAAGAACTCATGTCATAAGACCTTTCGTCCTCGTGCGACAAAATGACGTCTTATGACATTAGTTCTTTAATATACTATTATAAAACGTGAAATTATTTTTTAGTGCAATAATTTTGTGAACAACTTGTTATTTCTTATACGATTAACGCATAATTTTAATTCTAATAAAAAATGATCCAATTGATTGTGTGTGGGCTATTATTAGGGTGTTTAAAAAAAAGCGAATTGTTTTTTTTTCTTGCAAACAGGCTCAAAAGTTTCGTTTAGGTATAAAAATAATCCTGTGAAAATATGAGGTCTTAATTTTAATATCTTAATGCTCCGCATCGCACTTTCCGATTTTTCATAAGAATAACATTTGTAAAATAAAAAAATAATAAATAAAATTTGTTTTGTTCCTTCTGATTTTTGTAGCTCACCAACCAAAGGTCATATAGAAAATGTAAACGGTTTTTGTTGTTAAATACATTCAATATTTTCTTGGATTTAAATTAACTATATATAGTTAATTTAAATCCAAGAAAATATTAAATGTATTTAACCGCAAAAACTGTTGATTCAACATAATTTTTCTCTTAGTGTACGAACGTGGCGCAAAAATGATTATCCAAACACCGTTGGCATAAAAAATCACGACATGATTTTTTGTGCCATCGGTCAATCGCAAACAGCGATGGCATAAAAAATCACGACATGATTTGTGAAAATCACGACGTGACGTTCGTATGATTTTAATTTATCACGCGGTGACTTCCGTATGATATCAGTATGAATAAAATTTGTGAAAATCACGACATGATGTTCGTATGAATATCACGAATGTTGTCCGGGAACTGTGGCACGAGATGGCGCCGCTGCAGGCAATGGTATCGCTATTGTTATTTTGCGCGTTACAAACAAGCGTGTGTTTATGTTTGGCGCCAATGGGCGAGAGATCTCTTTGTGGTTATTTTATGTTATTAATTATTGAAAGTGCTCTTAAGCCTGCCTCAGCTAATAAATCAAGTTTTGTTTAATATAAAACATATACTATACTATGCATACTGCAGTTGCCACGTTCAGCCGAATTTCCGCAACGCCAAATTAATTTTATGTGCGCACATAAAATAAATTCTATAATTTTTATTATGTTAAGTCATAATTTTAATTGTAAAATAATAAGAATAAAAATTATGCGCACACATAAAATTAATTGTTAAATAACAATCAGGGCCGGCCCGAGGTACGGGCGAACCGGGCAACCGCCCGGAGCGGCACAATGGGGGGGGCGGCATTTTTACGATGTGTTAATGATAATAAATTTCAATGAACATAATACAAAAATTTCGATTGGCGATTTTTTCCAGTATTAAGCTCGAGAAATATCTTTGTTATAACAATCTTTGTATACAAATGATTTAATAGAGGCGCTCTCGGAAGACGACGCTGGCGCCCTCTTTTATTTATTTCTTCAATCATATTCTGTAGTTTTCTTTACTGTGTTTGACAATTGACAATTAATTGAAACATATCTCACGATCGTGCATTGTAAAATCAGTGAATTACTAAGGTAGTTTGATAATTATCTAATTATAATTAGAAGTTTAAAATGTCTGAAAAACGCAAAAAAGATTCAGGAGCTTTTTATAAAAACCAAACAAGGGCGCGTGAGGCGGAAAATCGAGTTCTAGCAGCAACATTTTCCAAATTCTTGCAAAAAAATCCATACTATATTATAAAAGTATTGTACAAGTAAAAGTTAAAGATAAAGTAAAATTTATCGCACATTTCGTTATTTAAATAATATTTAAATTTCTATATTAAAATCATAGTTTTTTTTTCTTTTTTGCGACGTAAGCCAGTATATTGCCTTACCTATTGGCGATTCTAAAACATAAAAAACTAAAAAATAATTACGTTTAACTACTTTTGCCACTATTTCTGCCGAATAACAAGGGGGCGGCAAAAATATCTTCGCCCGGGGCGGCAAAAAACGTCGGGCCGGCCCTGATAACAATGATTGTACTACAAATGAGAAATTGCAAGTTAAAAAATAATACAATAAAACAAAATGGTTTAAAAAAATTGTTTAACAATGTTCTTAGTCTTTGGGTATAAACTAAAAAAATTAAGAACCTCATAGGAAATAAAAATAAAGCAAATTTACATACTTACAAAATTATATGTAAAATTTTCAAACTATTATCATATTAACATGTATCATAAAAAATAATTATTAAATTATAATTAAAATATTATTATAATTATATAAAAACACGGCAGCAAAAGCCTTGCACACAACCTACTGACTTGGGAGTAAAATGTATGCTTGGCAATATGTGCTTTCTCCGCCTGGTCTATAATGTACTATTCTAAATATCTAGATAGGTAAACTAAATTAGATCCTATGAGATTAAGTTTTTTCAATTTACAATTAGACCTATTAAAGCTTAATTAAATTGTGTGAAAGTTACACTTAAACTCGACTTAAGCAATGTTTTGTATGATTAAATAAATAAAATATTGAGAGAGAATATAAATATAGTATTTTTTAGCCTTTAAAACTTTTTGATAGAAGCTAGTTCCAAAACAAAACTCTTTTATACTAACCACAGTCTCAGCAGCAGGAGCATTATTATTGGCAACATTGGACAAATTCTCATCATGATTCTCAACTCCTGCAGCCTCATTTGCTTTTCTCGACCTATTGGGTCTATTCTGCGATTGTGCTTTCATTCCCACTGTAATACTTTGCACTAAAGCCTCTCTCGAATGACTTTTATTCAACTTAGCCAACACCCTTTCTTGGTGAGCCTCATACTCATCTCTCGAAGGATGTATCTTCGAAATTAACAAGTCAAAGTTCGGGTCAGCACGTAGGGATCTCTTTGAGACCAACTTCTTTCGACAGGTAGGGCATTCCTTGTTTCCAGACCGCAAAGCAGTGACAATACAATCGGAACAGAACCTGTGCAAGCATTCTTTTGTGGTCATCGTCTTTTTTAGCATGTCCAAACAAATGGGGCACATCAATTCGCTGTGCAGACTCCTAGGGGATACCGCTATCTCTGTGTTGTCGGTGATGGTATCCTGTGGGGTGCGATGGAGCTCGTACAGGGACAATTCCCACGTCTTGTTCAGACCGATTTGCTCCGACGCGGTCATTGTGAGTAAAAACGACTATTAAATGCACTTAAAAACACCTCAAACAATTACAAATTACAATTTGGCGTGCTTTGACACTTGACACCATTTTTGTTGACATTTGAGGTGACATCTATGATTTTTTTTTTTAACTTTACAAAACTAATCTGTAATTTGGCTTCAATTCGAACTTGATATGTCTACCAAAGTAAAGATGGCGCTGTTCGCAATACGGTGCATATACTTACGTAAGTATAAGTATGATACAGTGCACATACAAGTATGTGATACGGTGCACATTACAGAACTGTGAAATTTAATAAATTTATCTTGTATGTTTGAAAAAGGTCGTAAAAAACTTTCAGAATAGAAGTTTTCGAATTTAGGTTATTTCTTACAACTTTAAAAAATTAACACCATTTTGTTGTTGATGTTCTGGGTGTCCCCAAATCACTGGGCAAAACAAAAGAGGTCGATTCATTGCGAAAATATAAGACTTTTTTCTTTTTTTTTCCAAAAATCAATATTGAAAAAGTTATTCGCTCACTCAGAGCTCGCTTTTGACCAGACCGGCTCTAAATTTTGCGAAAATGTTATTTTTTCATAAATTTTTAAAATTTTGTTAAAAAAATTCCCAGGTGGGAATTTTTTAAAAATCTTGATTTTTATTAGAAATGTATATTAAAGTTTTGAAAAAACAAAAAAATTCAAATTTTAAAATATAAAAAAAACCTATCCTTGAAACTTTATTAGAAAATGATTGAAAACCATTTTATACAAATATACCTACAAAATCCTTGCAAAAATCTAATATTAAAAATTCGCTATTTCGAGCCAAACCGCACTTTTGACTTGAGCCATTTGGGGACCTGCAGTAGGTGCGAAGTTTTATATAAATTTTCAAAATTTTTAAGAAATTTTAAAAATAGTGGGTTTTAAGAATTTGCAAATAAAAAAAAATCGAGGTGATTCAAATGTTACCATAACATATACATATACATGTACAACTTCGAAATTTTACTATAACATACATACGAGCCCTAACCACATAATGTTCGGACACTTCATAATTTATACAGAAATTTTTTTCGTGAATACTATCTCAAAATTATTAGAAGTTATGAAAAATTCAGCTTATTTTGGCATATACCCCTCGAAGCGATTTTTATTTTTAAAAAGTTTACCTTTTATTTTTAGCTTTTAAAAAAAGGCTAACTTTTTAACTTTTTTTTGTATGAGTAAAAAAAGTTATAAATGGGCCCATTAAAAAGAACATAAAATATTATACAAACCCTGAAAATTTGGTAAAAAATAAATAAGTTATAAAAAAGTATAAGTAATTTAAAAATGCTATTTTTAAAGAGTTTTTGCAATTTTCTTAGGAAACGGGAGATTTTGCAGATATATATATCGCTATAACTTTCTTATTATTTATACAATTTTTACCAAATTTTCAGGGTTTGTATAATATTTTATGTTCTTTTTAATGGGCCCATTTATAACTTTTTTTACTCATGCAAAAAAAAAGTTAAAAAGTTAGCCTTTTTTAAAAAGCTAAAAATAAAAGGTAAACTTTTTAAAAATAAAAATCGCTTCGAGGGGTATATGCCAAAATAAGCTGAATTTTTCATAACTTCTAATAATTTTGAGATAGTATTCACGAAAAAAATTTCTGTATAAATTATGAAGTGTCCGAACATTATGTGGTTAGGGCTCGTATTATGTACAATTTGAAATTATAGTTTAAAAAAAAAAACAATTAAAAAAAAAATCTTTTTTATATATTCAAAAATCTCGATCGTGTGCCATTTTCGAAACCATAGTTTTTATTTTTTTATTTGGACTAAAACATTTTGCTCAAGCACAAGAAAAGTGACCTATGTAACTTAAAAACACACGATTTCTTTTATGTATTTTATGTTCATTTTTTTCTCTATCCTGTTAATTGTATTATAAATAAACTCAAATCTCAAATGGATGTTTTAAAGTGTCACAAATTAAATTATATGTTGGTAAAAAATGGCAAAATGCTGTATTTTCATGGAATATTATTTTAAATCATTGTAACAACTTAATTTATTTTATTTTTTTTATTAATCCACAAACAGTTATTCTTAATTGTGCAACAAAAACTCAGTTCCAACACTTACCTTGTTCCTGCATAGCATTCAACTGGTATTATTATTTATGAAATGTTTACCTACCTTCTTGTTTTTTTTCCTTTGGAGGATTTTTTAAAATAAAAGACAGATTTATAGAAATTATTTTCATTTGCAAAAAAATATACAGCATGATGTTTAATTTTATTCTATAACTCCTTACAGTTTTTAAATAACTCATTACATTAAAAAATAAAATAATTTCGCAAACTATAGGATTTAAACATGTTAAAATACATTTTTAGTAGTAAAGCTGGCATTTATTTATTTATTTAAAATAATCAAATTCCTCTTTTGCGATTGATGTAGTAAAAATCATATAGTACATACAACAGAGGTCCATTTTCACTTGTCTTACAAATACTTAGCGATTTTACATATTATTTATTTAAATTACATGCACTAATATATTGCATTAAGCTAAATAGATTATATACTAGCATTTCATTTAAATAGCCATTTACTTGTAAATGGTTCACAAAATTTATTTAATCAATGATACATTTCTTAAGGCTCTTTGAGTTCCTTTAAAACTTTTTTATCATGATGTAACTAAAATAAAAAAGTTAATAAGTTTACTAGGTTTTTAAAAAACCGGATTTTGTCGTCTTAGAGACGGACGCAGTATAAACAATAATAAAATGCTAATATTTTCAACCTAAAACTTGTAATTTCAAAGGCACTGTCAGAAAAAAGTATACTAAATGATCTTGGTAGCACCTATATTTAATATTCATAAAAATTCAACTAAGTATGGCAGTTTGTATTTTTCATTGGAACAACGTTTTACAAAATCATTTTAGGTATATTTAAAAAAGTTCTGTACATAGAATAATAAATAAACAATAACTTAAATTAAATCGGTCGTAAACTGACCTTAGGAATTCACGTATTGAGCCTCAATTGAAACATTTTTACACAGAGAACAGCGAACGAATTACTTTTGTCCCTCAAAATTAATGACGTTGCGATTTTAGCACCACAAAAATAATCTGTGTATTGTTATTATTAGTCCGGATAATATTTAAGGGACAAAAACGATCGCAAACTTGGGTAGATTTAATAAAAAAAATCATAAAACCTACTCTATAACGATACAGCGCCAAACTTATGAATTTATGCTTGGCAGTGTACTAGAATAATATAATTCAATTAATAAACTATTAAATAGTTACTTTAAAACGATTTTAAGTGTCGTAGAGACTTAAAAATTACTGTATACTTCGACATAATTTATTAATTACATTGAATATATAAAATATGGTATGATACAATTTTATCTTAAAAATAGTAAATTTTTAGGTTTGATCAAAATGCAAAAATCCCCCGTTTAAGCCGGTTAAAACGGTTTTTGCCTTTTGACCTCTTTTTTCAATGATATGTGATAAAAAAAACGCAACCAAAAAATCAAACACCTGTCGGATTTTTCGTTTGTCAAAAACAAAACTCTAAACCGAAAGCTCCTATAATTTGCAAAACAAAACAAGAAAAATCGAGAGAATTAGATTTTACTAGCTTGGCTAAAAACATTACTAGGATATGTTTTAGAATTTACAACAGAAAAAAATTACCTAATATTCAGTCTATACAAAATCCCGACGAGCGGGAGGTGGGGCAAGGGCGCACAGAAAAAAATTAATTAATTAACAATGTGAGTAAGTAAAATCCAACGAAAAAATCGAATCCATTAACGCTGATTTATTAAATGGTTGTACGAAATTTAATAAATGAGGCTTGACAGATTGGACTTATTTCTTTTTAATTGGAAACAAATAATTAATTTACGAATAATTACTGGTTCAGAATTCGTGAAATCGGCACGATAAAAATGATTATCATTGTTTTTGACGAAATATTGAGAAAGCGGTTCTATTTATGCACAAAAATTAATCAACCAAAATATGTTTTTAATTATTTTTTAGCAAAGTTGATGTCAAATGAAATTTTCAGTAACTTTTCAAACTAAATCTAGTTATTCATAGTTATTCGCATATCGAAAATAATAAAGTTGACTTTGGAAAATTGTTTTGAAATTTACAAAAATGTATTTTTTTTTGTAATTTAATAAACTTTTTATATACAATTAATTTTTTTTAGTCTTCCAGCATTTATTATGACTTTTACTTAAAAAATATCTTATTAAAATTTTTGCTTTTCAAGTTCTCAATGGTTTATTATTTTTTTGTTTAACAAGTAAACAGCGACTTGTTAATATACATATATTTTTTGAAATCACAAAAAAAACATTATTTGTTTTTAACCATTTCATTGTTATTGAATTATTGTGAAAACCAGCTTAAGAATGTTTTTTTCTGTAATTTTGGCAATTCACTTGTTCACTTGTTTTTGAAGCAAAAATGTATACAACAAATTTTTTAGTAAAAAGTTTTTTTTGTTTAATAATCCCTGGATTAAGTAGAAAAGGTCCTAAAAATGCGCACTGTTGTACCACAGTGGTATACCTTGCTGCACAGCAATATTTTAATCATAATTCCTTAGGTAAATGTTGCTCAATGAACTGAAACTTTTTTCACATTCAAAACACGAAAAAAAATAATTATTTATAAAAAAAAAATTGATAAAATATTATGAAAAAAATAATTTTATTAAAATTTTCCATAGTCAATTTCTTTAGATATGCCAAATTTTTATTAAAATTGATTTATCTTTTTAAACAAATTCGTAGTTATTCGCATACCGAAAATAATAAAATTGACTTTGGAAAATTGTTTTGAAATTTACAAAAAATGTAATATTTTCGTAACAATTTTTCACTTTTAATATTTTTTTTTTCGTCTTCCAAAAGCGCATTTATTATAACATTTTTTACTTAAAAAAATATCTAATTAATATTTTTGCTTCTCAAGTTCTCAATGGTTTATTATTTTTTTTACCAAGTAAACAGTGACTCACATACTAATTTTTTTTTTGAAATTACAAAAAACATTTTTAGTTTTTAACCATTTCCTTGTTATTAAATTATTGTGCCTACAACACCAATGTATGTATAATTAAATAATGATCTTGATAGATATTTTACTCAAGACACTTTAATTTACTTAAAAAATTAAAAATCAAATGGTTTAATGTTTCTGTAATTTTGGAAAAAATTATACATTTGCGATTCACTTGTAGAACATGATGATGATTTGATGATGATTTAAAAGATTAATTTTATTAAAATTTTATAACAATTTTCTTTACCTTAGATATGCCGAATTTTCATTAAAATTTTATTTATCTTTTCAATCAAATTCGTAGTTATTTGCATATAGAAAATTGACTTTGTAGAATTGTTATGAAATTTACAAAAATGTCATTTTTTCATAGCGATTTATCAAAATTTTAATCAAAAGCGTATTTATTATAACCTTTTTTACTTAATTCAGGGATAATTAAATATAAAAAATAATTTTTTTAATATTTTTGCTTCCCAAGTTCTCAATGGTTAATTATTTTTTTTAACAAGTAAACAGCGCCTCGCTAACATTCTTATTTTTTTAAATCACAAAAAACAGTTTTTAACCATTTCATTGTTACTGAATTATTGTGTCCACAACACCAATGCATATGCATCATTAAATAATGATCTTGATAGATATTTTACTTAAGACACTTAAATTTACTAAAAAGTACCAATCAATTGGTTTAAAGCTAAAGAATGTTATTTCTGTAATTTTGAAAAAAAATTATAGTTGCGATTCACTTGTAGAACATAATAAATGTTTTAAAACCTATTTTTGAAGCAAAAATTAAAATAAAAAGTTTTTTATTTGTTTAATCATCCCTGGTAGAAAATGTCCCAAAAATGCGCACAGTTATACCACACTGGTATACCACACTGCACAGCAATATTTTAATCATAATTCCTGTTGCTTAAAATGAATTTTTTTCAAATTTATAAAAGGTCCAGAACACAAAAAAAAATCAATTTTTTGAAAATGTTTCATAGTTAATTTCTTTACCTGAGATATGCCAAAGTTTCATCAAAATTGATTTAACTGGATTTTGTTTGAAAAGTTACCAAAAATTTCATTTGACAATAACTTTGCTAAAAAATAAAAATGTTTTGATTAATTAATTTTTATGTAGAAATAGAACCATTTTTGTCGTGCTGATTTGACGAATTCTGACCCAAGTTTATAATATTTTTGTTTTAAATTTAATAACGCATTAATAGTGGAATATAGTATATTTAATTTAGTTAATATCACGAACCGAATCGTTGATAGGTCCGTTGAAGCAAACCGAATGAGTTCAAGTACCAAAAATCGATGAATTTTTGACAATGGTCGCCGATCGCCGCCCCTCGCGAAATCGGTCACGAACCCGCCGCCGCCGCCGCTTTGGAAAAGATTTCGAGGTAACTCGTACCGTGTTCGGTGCTCGCCGTGCGCGCGTCGTTGACGTCTCAGGCGGCTCAGTGTTTGACTTTCGCGTTGTTGGGCAGCGCGGAGTGCTTCAGACCCTCGCTCTTCACGAAGTCGATCTGCGCGTACGAGAACGCGGCCGGCCCGTTCTGGCTCGGGCCAGCCGCGATGCCGTCCGGTTGCTCGGACTTGGGGCTCCTGCCAACCTGCAAACAAATTACATACTTAAGAAATAATTAGACAACTTAAAGTGTGATTTTAACTATTTTTATTCTAAATTGTATTTGCAACATCCTTAAGTCTCAGGGTACTAAAACAACAAGGTACATTCTGTTAGACTTTCTTTTTAATAATTTTAAACAATATTTTATAAAAAAACATTTGATAAAGTAAAATATCAGCATTATGGTGTAAATTAAATAATTATAATAAATAAATATGCAATAATACACAAGACATATGCACTGTTCAAAATCAAGCCTTTTGAAATACCCAATCAGAATTAGTTAAGGAAAAATAAGGTAATATGCTTAAACGAGTAAAGCAATTTACCTTTTCGTTTATTAGGCAGAAACTAATGCCTTACTTCTATGGTGTATTCACTAACTTTTAGATAAATATTCATACTTTACTTAATAAACTTGTCAAATTTAAAAAGATAGTCAGATTACCTAAATATTTAGTCAAAATCTCAATTACTTTTAGGTACGACAATTTTGCTTTTAATTTAGGTAATTCTTCTAAATTATTATGGCAAATTATTGAACTAATTTAGGTAAATTCCTTTAAATATTAGAGACTTACTTGCAATCGGCTACGATCGCCAATACCGACGTTTTACGATAAATATTCGCGCCTATATTGTCCACCATAATGCCAAAATCAACGAAAGCTTAAAGACCGCGTTGTGTGCTATTGATATAACAACATAGTTAACAATTATTGTGCTATAAGTGAACATTTTGTAGTGCTATAGTTAAGTAATATAAACTAAATGGAATTTCCCATTGACACCAATTTATTTTTAAATAATCCCTGCCCTGCAGGGTACATGTAGTACCGGAACCGCCGTTGTTAATTCGCTTAGGACATAAAGATAGGAGGATAAAGGAGTCCTAACTTGAAAGAAAATTCCTATGCTAGGATTTTCACTAAAAATATATATAATTTTCCTGAAAACTTAGCTAAAATCTACCTAAAAATTTAAGTAAATTGCCTTAGAAACAGGAAATTTATTCTTGTATTCTCAGGCAATATCCCTTACGATCTAAGGTGTATCATCTTTGAAACCTAAGTAATTTTGCTTAATTAAATAATCATTTTCTTTAAAAATATCAGTTAAAGAATTCACTAATTTAAAAGGAAAATATTCCTCTGAATTCATTTCAAGCAGTTTGCCTTAAAAAATCAATGGTCCTATATAGTCTAATATTTTAGGTAAAAATTAGCTAAAATTTTGAACAGTGTGGGTGAATCTCACGAAATGTCCCCCAATGGTGTTACCCCCGTGATATTTAATAAAACTAAATGAGTTTGACCTACACTTTTATTGTGTTTTGATCTTTCATAATTAAGTAAAAAAAAGTTTACAGTCTCAGGTTGACAAAATTAAAGTGATTTTACATAAAAGATAATATAAATATGGCATATATTTTTTTGCATTTTATTTGAAAATATTTGAAATTTTTTATTAGTGTTATTTTTAATCGCTGATATCTTTGAAACGGTTGACCTGAAGAACTTTAACCTTCAGATGTTTTTTGTAGAGCGTGAAAATGTCTATAACTCCTCTCGCTTGGGTCTTGCGAAAACAAACCATTCCAAAATTATAAGAATTCAAAATTTAAAAAATAAAAATTCCCGTGTTATTGAAATGGAAAAACAACAAATGAATTGAGGCAAACCTTAATATTAATATTAAGGGCTCAAATATGCGCCAAAAGTTTTATTATTTAATGTATTATTATTTTTTCAACACCATTAGGAAAAAAAATATTTTAATTTTTTTTGAAACACCCTAATGTAGATGTTACAAAAATTGATTCTATCCTCCGTGAATCTGTTTTTGATTTAAACTTTATGCAACGGATGGCGCTTTAATCATTTTAAATAAGCAAAAACAGAGGAAGCTCTAATATTCAAAATGTATGATTTCTTAAAATTCTTGCATTTGTGCAGAACCACTTATCATATGTTATTACTAGACCTGGTGGCTTCCCAAAAACCCCATTCTAGACTAACAGTGAAACAACCAAAAATAAAAAATAATCATTTTAACTTAAGGGACATCTCAAAATATTCACCCATATGTTATTAGAAGAAAAAACAAGGTACATTGTCTTAGACGTTCTTTTTAATAATTTTAAACAATATTTTTATAAAAAAAACATTTGATAAAGTAAAATATCAGCATTATGGTGTAAATTTTAAAAAAAATTAAGTCGTTTTACCCTGCCTAAATTTAAAGACGTAAGAAAGAAATCATAACTCGCTAATAAATAAATATGCAATAATACACAAGACATATCCTCGTAGAAAATTGTAGGCCCTATAAAAAGGTTAATTACTTTTTTTTTTCGTAAAACCATTAATTTAAATAATATTGTAGGTCAAAGTTTGAAATAAATTCTATTTTTTTCTCTGAATTTTTCGTAGTTGTCTTTTGGTTGGATCTAGATTATTTGTTTATAGTCTAAAAACAATTCTGGAAAAAAATATTATTCTTCCGCTGTTGTTTTACCCTTTCTAAATGACAATTCCATAAGAAACAATACTTTTCATTTTAATTTATTTTAAACTTTGACCTTTAATTTTATTTAAATTAATTTTACGGAATTTTTTTTTACGAAAACAACGTTTTTTGTTGACTGGCGTATTGTTGCATCTCTATGTATTAGAAAGTTGTAAATTCCTGTCATTAAAATGAATAATTTTCATCATTTAATTGTTTAGCTTATAGTCAAATAATTTAGATAGTACCAAAGTGAAAAAAGCCAACCTATAAAGTTCAAAAAAAAAAAATAATTTTATATTTATTTAAAATTTTTACCTCCCATATTATTTAAATGAGTGGTTTTTGAAAAAATATATAAAAACACATTTTTAGTGGGACGCAAAATTTTGTCCAAAAATGTTTCTTGCATATGGTTGTTATTGAAATTCTTCTTCCGTCATTAAAATAAATAATATATAATTATATACATTGAAAAAAAAATCCCAAATTATTTTTAGACTGTAAACAAATAATGTTGATGATATCCAAGTGAAAAAAGTCAACAGAATATAACAAACACCGAAAAAGTGTAAAAAAAGTATGGTCATTTTATTTTCAAAATAGTTTTTAGACTGTAAACATATAATTTAGATAATACCCAAGTGAAAAAAAAATAACAACGAAAAATTCAGAAAGAAAAATACCTAAATACTTTTTTATTTATTTCAATCTTTGAAATTTAAAAAAAGTACCTATACGATTTTTTTTATCAAAATTGTTTTTAGATTGTAAAAAATAATTTAGGTGATGGGTACCCAAGTAAAAAAAAGCCAACATGGGAAATAACGGACTCCCTAATTAGCAAACCTTTAAAAGCAAAGTGGTGCGACTCACCTCATCTAGGTCCAAGCTGGCGTAATGCAGTTGCTGCGGCTGATCGGCGTTGGCGTCGGCCGAAGAGGGCGGTCGCGCGATTTCGCCGTTGTTCGGCAGATGATCGCTGTCGAGCGATTCGGGTCGCGATCCCGCGCCCGTAAGCGTCGACGTCGACGAGCACACCTCGCTCGAGGTGGAGTTCGGTCGCGACGTTTTCTCCTCGATTATCCGCGACCGAGCCGTCTCCTTCAGGCTCTCCGTGCTGTTGTTCAGCTCGGGCACCGTGTCGCCCGGCTTCGGCGACGTTCGGCTGCTCAGGTCGTCGTTGATCGGGTGAAAACCGGACAACCTAGAAAATAAGAAAATACTTTTTCTTATACTCTCTCATTCCATCGTTTAACCAAAGTCTAAATTTGTATGTATTTTAAAATAACATTTTGGCAATAAAATACCTTATTCTCTATGTTTTTAGTTGTTTTATCTAAATTATAAAATTAGTACAGTTTAGCATATAGGATAACAATTTTATAAGTCAAAAATATACTTTTTCTATGTCAAAAAGTGTGCGTTTCACGATTCTGCCTCTATGTCCTAGCCAGAGCTGGCCAAGTACTGAGTACTTTTACTCGTATTTCAATTACGATTAAAAAAGCACAAGAACCTTTTTACTCATGATTTTTTTTCATTTGAAATCAATGTACTCGTAATAAATACTCGTGGAATTCACAAGTAATATAAACGAGTATTATATCGATGACTTTTTGCCAAAATATCGTAAGCATCAAAACATTTTGTTTGGAAGTTTGTTTTAAATTATATAATAAATATGTATAGTATAAAATAATATTTTATCTACTCCTACATTGACGAGCTGTAACTTTTTATTGACGGGCTGAAGTTAACAACAGTGGCTTTTCGACATTTTACGTCACAGGCTGAAGTTAGCTTTATTATAAATTGGGAAAAGTGAGGTTAAATTCGGGTGACAGTTGACAGATGTCAAAATTTTAACAAATAAAATTGGCTTTAAATTCTGTTTTGAGTTCGTCGTAGATAAAGTATAGTATGCAACTCGTTTATAAACTTCTCTACACTCGTTTTTATTAAACACTCGCTCGCAAGCTTCGCTTGTGCTTAATTAAACTCGTAACTAAAATGGCGTTTATAAAACTTAATACATAATATACTATTATAGCCTATAGGTTTTAAAACAAAACCAATTTTTTTAAAATAATTAATAATTAAATAATTAAAAATTAAAAATATTTTAATTACCAAAAATTTTTATTTCTAAAATGTTTTAATCAAACCTTTTTTCGATTATATTACAGTTTTTCTAGAATAAATTATTTGCAGAATAGGTTTTAGTTACACCCAATTGGGAAGAGAAGGGAGGCGTAATCAGAACTAGGATTTTAACATTTTCGAAAAAATTGAGCCGGCAAAAGTTTTTTCACAAAAAAAAAACGTTTTTCCCAAATTTTTCCGTTTTTTTTCGGACATTTTTATACCCTAATCAGATTATGTGCCAAATGTGAACCAAAAAATGGCGTAGAATTAAAAAATTTAATCTTCGTAGGTTATGTCGAAGGGGAAACGTCAAAACTATAAGGGTCGAAGCTACAGACAATTATTGTATTATAGGGTAAGGTACTGGTAACTGGTAACGCACACAAAACAAACGACGCCATTTTTTGGTTCACTTTCGGCACACTTTACTACGCCAGTAAGGAATAGGCGTTAGCAGTACATTTTATTTAATTGTACACTGCGCGTCAAAAACATTCTAAAGGCCGATTCTCACATAGCGACGCGACGCTACGCGACGCGATGCTGCAAAATCGCGCCCTATTGTCGCTCCAGGAAGCGACAAAATTTTGCCGAGTCGCGTTGCTGGCGCGTCGCGTCACTATGTGGGAATTGTCTTATTTAAATGCATGGAAATCTTTCATCAGCTACATGTGAGAATCGGCCTTAACTCTAAAACGCCTTTGCCAATCTTTATAAAATTTTGTATAAAAATACTTTAACTCATATCTCAGTTTACGTGTTCATGGGTTTTTCGAAAAAATATCCTTAAAGTCCTTTTATTTAATAATAAAAACGCTCGAAAAAAAAAAATTATAGGGAATTTTTTTAAGTAAATAAAAAATATGCTGTGAAATACCGTATTTTTGTAAGTATACCCTGAAAATGTTGAACAAATCAAACGAACAGTAACGAAAATACAGCGCTTTAAAGTCGTTAAAAATGACCAGTTTTCAACTTTGAAGCGCTGTATCTTCGTTACTGTTCGTTTGAATTGTTCAAAATTTTCAGGGTATACTAACAAAAATACGGTCTTTAACAGCATATTTTTTATTTACTCAAAAAAAAAACCTAAAAGTTATTTTTTGAACGTTTTTTTATTATTAAATAAAAGGGCTCGAACACGTAAGGGGGCATCCATTAATTACGTAAGGTGTTTAGGGGGGGAGGGGGTCGAGCCTCACCCAATCTCACGTGGGGGGGAGGGTGGTCTCGGCAAATATCACGTAATTTTTTCTATTCAAATGAAACAGTGTAAAATTGCGAGAAAACTGGGTTAAATTAATTATAACAATTGTTTTTTCTTAATAAATCTAATGGAATCAATCACAGATTAACTTATTTACATTAAAACCATGCATTTTAAAAAATCTTACGTGAGATTAAGGGAGGGTGGAGGGGGTCGAGCAAAATTTCACGAAATCTCACCAAGGGGAGGGGGGGAGTCGAAAAATTGCCAAAATTGCCTCACGTAATTAATGAATGACCCCTAAACTGAGATATAAGTTGAACTATTGTTATACAAAATCTCATAAATACTGGTAAAGGCGTTTTAGAGTTAGAATTTTTTTACTTATTATGCGTTAATTTTAAAGCGCAGTGTATAATGTTACACCAAAGGACTAAAAGTTCTAAAGCGCGTACTAAAGTACATGAAGCGATTTTTTTATTCAGGAAATAGTTTGAGGTTATAAAAATTAAAATTAAAGGAATTAAATCTGAAAAATAACAAAAAAATATATAATTGGTTCACATTTAAATAATTTTCTATTGTGTTAACCAGTAGCGTTTTAAAAACTTAAACTTATAAAATATTAAGATTGTTTAATTTAATTCAAAAATGAAAATAGATTGATTTAAATGAACTAAAAAAAATACTTATTTGACCTTCAAATGAACTTACACTTTTACTACAATTATGTTTAATTGCAATTTCTTTTATAAGAAATCAATTATCTCACCTGTATTGGATGTTGTTGGTTTGCATTTTCAAAATCCCGGGCTTCATAATAGCATAATCTCCCAAATGGTTATCGATTTTCTCCACCGTTTTCTGCGGCGCCGGGTTATAGTTGACGTACTCCGAATCATCCTTCTTTTTGACGTTACCGCCGGCGCTCTTGTCGTAATCCATCACGGCGTAGTCGTCGTAGCTCTTCCCGCTGCCCCTGTACTTGGTGTTCAGCACGCTGGTGGGCACCTTGATCGCGTGACTGGTGACGCTCGCGGCGGTAGTCGTAACCGGCGAGCACGGGCTGTTCAAGCTCAGCGAGAAAATCGTGCTCGAGCTGGACGGCGTCGTCACGTTCGAGCCGCTGCTGTCCTTCGAGTCCCTGCGGCTGTTCTTGCGCGACCGGGGGCGAGGCAGCGAGGAGTGCTGGCTGCCGAGCGGCAGGTGGAGACTCGGAGGCGTTCCGGAGGAGTACTTTCGGCCCGCCGAGCCGGGACTCAGTACGCACTTGTTGCTGCCTTGTATGGTTATGGGTTGAGTTTTGCCGTTTGTTCTCTTCATGTTTGTGTTGTTGTTGTTGTTGTTGTTATGTCCCAAAGACATGTTGGTGTAGTCGCTGGTGTCTTGGGGTTTGATTTGGGAGCTATCCAAACTAGACTGCCTTTGGTGTTTGTTGTTAGTCTTACCTAGAGGTAAAAGAGTTTGTTTTCAAATATGAAAAAAACTAGAAAATGTAGTTTTTTTCGTTTTTTTTTTAAAGCCGCTACTGTAGCAATACTTCACAATAAAATCAATAATTACTATGAAATATTTATATTTTCCATAATTCAGAATTTTGGCACTAAAATATTTGATTTCTTATTATTTGGTAGTTTCAACTAGGGTTTCACTTTTTGCTTGTACTTGAAATTTCACTTGAAATTTTCATGACATTTATGAAATTTATTGAAACACTTTAAGTGTAACATATTAATTTTGAAATAAGCCCACTCAGGGGCCATGGCAAATTGCCTCTCTTACCTTCTACCCCTCTGTGGGCCCCTGCACCAATAATATAAATAGTAAATACCTATGTTTACCACAAATTTCTTGAGATTTCCTTTTAAAATATTTTTAAAATTACTAAAACTAAAAGAGATATAGCACTTTTTGGTAAGCTAATGAGATTGTGCCACTTTCATTGTTTTATATTTATATATATTTATTATTTTTAAATATTTTACTGAAATTTTACGAAAATTTAAGAATTTTCATCAAAATTCTATGAGCCAAAGGCATTTTTTATCGGTTTTCCGATGCAATTATAGCAAAAGTAAAAGTTAAAATTAATCATGACTTTTAAAAAAAATTTAAAGTTTGATTTAATTTACAAATTAAATTGGTAACTGAATTAAATTATTTAAATTAATTTATGCATATAAGTAACAATAATTACTTATAGTGTATTCAAATCCAAGCCGGACTAAACAAAACCGCCCAGGCGCTTGATAACTCGTTCTTATTGGTCGATTCGGAATCTGTTGTAAATTATTATTAAAGGTCCCAGGGGAGGCCGCATGTGAAATTTATGCGAAATTTTCAGTAAATTGCGAAACTTTCAATGAAATTTTTGAAACTTTCACAGGCAATGTTGAAATTTTCGGATTGAAAATTTCATTTGAAATTTTTAAAAATTTCACTTTTCCAACTAAATGAAATATTTCAAGTTTGAAACTTTCAAAGTTGAAATTTTCATTTGAAAATTTCAACTGTCCCAACCCTAGTTTCAACTGTGTTTTTTTGTTTGTTTTTATATCTGGAAGGTGCGGGAAAATGTCTATTTTGGGTAAAATTTAATTAAAAAAAAGTATTTTTTAAAATAACATACAAAATGCTCCTTTTATGAAAATGTGTGTATTTTTAAAATTCCCAAAAAAAATATTTTTTTCTAAAAAAAGACTATTTTTCCAAGGCCCCAGTACACTAGTTTCAACATAAGAAAATCGTAGGTACAAGTACGTGCAAAAGTTATCACCCGATTTCCCAAGGCTGTAATTTTTCTTGTAGAAAACTTGTTTTTGTTTGAAAATAATGTTTAGTTGGACCTTTACAAATAAACATTATTCACAAACACCCAGAGAATCAAGGTTTGGAAAAGAATTTATTCAATTTTTTTCCAACTAAGTTTGGTGTACGATATTTTACATTTTTTTCATCAAGTTTGACCAAAAATTGACATATTTTGTGCCAATCATTTCCCAACGCAATAGCACAAAAACTGCTTGAAAATAAAGACTTAGTTATTTTTGGCCAACTTCGTTTGTAATGTGTGTAATGTAATTAAGTAATTAAGCCTTAATTATTAAGGTTATGTTTACAAGTTTTTCAATTATTGATCAATTTATTACTTTTCGAAGATTGTTATTCCGTTGCATGAAGTTGCAGTGGAGAAAAAGAAACGTCTTTTTCTGGGTAATAGTGTTTATGCGTACAAGGCATACTACAAGCAGGATAATTTAGAAATAAAATGTCTACCTACATGTAATGGAGAAAAACATATTGGGTTTAAAGATTTATCATGCCTGAAGTGAGCAAGGTAATAATTATTGACATTGTAGGTATAAGTAGTATGACGATTGTATATTATGTGATAAAGAATTATTTATTATTATTGTGATTTTTGCATTGAATTTTAATATTGATTTCTTTTTTTATTTTAGAAGTTCTTCATAACATATAAAGTTACGAATCACAAATAATTTTACAATACATTCTTGATAGCCTTATCGTAATTCTATTTGTATCATAATATTATAACATACATATATAAAGGTATTTTTTTCTAGAGAGTTTAAATGAACACGAGAGATTTCCTCCTCCTGGGGCTATAGAGTTTCTGATGTCCTTACAGGTGGCCTTAAACAACGCCACCAACGTGACAAAGAAAAGCCTTATTTTACAAATTAAAAACTTTTCTTAGGATATTTCATAAGAAACAATTTTTTTTCCAATTTTTATTATTTAAAATATTTTTAAATTATGAATTATTTTTTTTATTATAATTTAAAAATTTAAATAAAAATTTTTTAAATGGTTTTCTGTGCCTGTATTTGTAAACCGTTTTCCTTTAATTTTAATAATAAAAAGCGTTTTATTTACCCAATTTTAAAATACTCCCAAAAAATTAATAGATTTTATTGTAAACGAGAAAAAGCTTCAAAACCCCAGAAATCAAAGAAAAGCCTAATTTTACAAAACAAATTAAAAAACTTTTCTTATGATATTTCATAAGAAACATTTTTTTCCAATTTTTATAATTTAAAATATTTTTTAATTATAAATTATTTTTTTTATTTTAATTTAAAAATTTAAATACAAAATTTTTAAATTGTTTTCTGTGCCTGTATTTGTAAACCGTTTTCCTTTAATTTTAATAATAAAAAGCGTTTTATTTACCCATTTTTTAAATACTCTCCAAAAATTAATAGATTTTATTGTAAACGAGAAAAATCTTCAAAAGCCCAGAAATCAAAGAAAAGCCCAATTTTACAAAACAAATTAAAAAACTTTTCTTCGGATATTTCATAAGAAACATTTTTTTTTTCAATTTTTATCATTTAAAATATTTTTTAATTATAAATTATTTTTTTAATTATAATTTAAAAATTTAAATACAAAATTTTTAAATTGTTTTCTGTGCCTGTATTTGTAAACCGTTTTCCTTTAATTTTAATAATAAAAAGCGTTTTATTTACCCATTTTTTAAATACTCTCCAAAAATTAATAGATTTTATTGTAAACGAGAAAAATCTTCAAAAGCCCAGAAATCAAAGAAAAGCCCAATTTTACAAAACAAATTAAAAAACTTTTCTTCGGATATTTCATAAGAAACATTTTTTTTTTCAATTTTTATCATTTAAAATGTTTTTTAATTATAAATTATTTTTTTAATTATAATTTAAAAATTTAAATACAAAATTTTTAAATTGTTTTCTGTGCCTGTATTTGTAAACCGTTTTCCTTTAATTTTAATAATAAAAAGCGTTTTATTTACCCAACTTTAAAATACTCTTAAAAAATTAATAGATTTTATTGTAAACTAGAAAAAGCTTTAAAATTTTTTTTTTTTTAATATTCTTTGAAATATAACTATAATATTTGTATATACTCTAGATTTGTTCAAATATTTACCAATATCATGGCATTGGTCAATTTTTCAAAAGCCTAATATTTGAAAAATAAACATCAAAAGTTTCATAGTTTTTCTATGCCCAAACATTTCCAAAATTAAACCAACGGTAAACCTACCTAACTTAATGCTTTTGCATATTATTGGGCACAATTTGGTCATTTATTGTTGGCCATGGCGATTGCACAAAAATCATAGGAATATTAAGTCCCATATTGTACATTTATTGGCAAAACTTTTCCAAAGATTGAAAAAAAATATCGCCTTAGGAAATTAGGTGACAACTTTTGTGCCACCTTGTATTTTGAATATTGTAATTAAAATTGTAATATTAAATTCAAATTTCCTAATACTAATACAACTATAGTTGTTTTTTATTAAATTATTTGCAAATTTTCGTGAAATAAATGGGCGAATTTAGGAAAGTAAGTTTGTAATGGCAAAAAACGTAAAAAATGGGTTGAAACAACATAAAATGTGAGTCTTACCAGGGGTCATCTCGACGTAACCCTCCGGCGTCGTGGGGGAATTGGACCATCCCTCGTAGTATTTGGGCGATATAGATTGATATTTGTTGCATGGCGACGTTGATATTTGCGAGCCGAAGGAACCCTGTCGATCCACTCTTCTAACGCCGTAATTGTTGGGGTTGAAGGGTTCGGTGTAGGAGTTCTTTACGTTCGCCGCATCTTTCTTAGCCTGCATATCCACGTAATCGCTCAATCTCGACAAATCCACAAAACTGGCGTCGTTATTGCGTGTATTTTGTGTGGTTGTGGTTTGGGTGGGGGCAGTTTCGACGCTCTGACCGAGTTTCATCTCGACGTAACCGCTAGGAGTAACGCCACCGGACTTCATGTCCATGTAATCGTTGCTGTTGTTCTTCGAGGTGGAACTGGAGTGCGAAAAGTCCATTTCCATTAAGTCGTCCATCGGCCCGATGGAACTGTGCGAACTGTGCACTCTGTTGAAGCTCAATATGGGGGCGCTGGACGACTTGACGCCCGGATACTGATGATGAGTGGCCAGAACTCTGCTCGGGCCTTTTTTAGTTTTCGAACCGACGGAAAAAGCCCGCACTCTCGAGTTTTCCGCCAGCTCCGTGTATTTCTTGGGCCCGGGTCTGGATCCCACGGAATAAGCTCTGGTAGGTCTGGGGTCCGCGTCCTCGGGCGGCGGGAAATACGAGGTCACTTTGTCCAGCATGTACTCGCCGAAACGGATGTCGCTCGAAGCGACGCTGCTCACGCTCTGGGTGGGCGATTTGCGGGCGTGTCGGCCGCCCGGGGACATGGCCACGTAACCCTCGTCGGTGGGTGGCGCCATGGGCACGTAGCTGCTGTCGGGACTGTCCTCTTCCGCGATGGCCTCGTCGGGCGTCAAGGGGTGCGTGAAATGACTGATCATGTCGACCTCCTGAATGACGTCGGGATCGTCGACCAGGCTGTAGGAGGAACCGGAGGACTCCGTGCTGCAGCCCACCGAAGGCGGGCTGAGGGGGCTTCCCGTGGGCGGGCTGTGCGATATATCTCTGTTGTAGTGCGTGCGGTACGACGGCAGGAGCTTGGATGCCGCGGACCAGAGGGGCACGGGGTGGTTACCCTCGCTGGTGGTGCGCGGCCTTGTGGGCATGCTGTCGCAACGTTCCCGGCCACTTGAAGCACCTAAAACATTACAACAACGTTAACATTTCGATTTAAATAAATTATAATAAAGCAAGCAAAGTTAATCAAATCAATCCTAAACCTTGATTAATCTTTGTATTTACATGAGATGAAATGTTTAGTCCCATCGTGAATGAGTAACACATAATTTTGTTATTAAAAAAGCTTTATTCGATCAAATCAACATAAGCACCCCAAAGGCAATGAAACATGTTTTTTAAAGTGAAACTTCTTTGCGGATATCAGATTGAAATTATTTTTCGAAAATCATGTATTGATATCAATATATTTTGGAAGAAATATATCAATATATAGGGTTTTTCGGGGTTGTGGTAAAATTAACTGTTTTATTCACTTTTTGTGATTTGAGGCTTCGTTTTTGAAATAAAACCTTTATTAGGCATTTAAAAAATGTTTAAAATTTTAGGTTTCAGAAAAAAATATAATATATTTATTAAACCAACCAAAATAATATTATTATTAGAGAAGGCAGATGCTCCAGCACTTGCTCGAGCAAGTGTAACACCTTAATTAATTTATTTAAAAAAATATTGGGCACTTTTTAAAACCGATATAGTTATTCCAAAACAAAAAGTTCATATAAACATAGGTCTGGAAATGCTCCGTTTTCAACTTACAGGGTGTCAAAACTTAAAAAAAACACCGTTTTTTTCCAAATATCTCAATAATCATTTAGCCGATTTTGTTGAAATTTAATAGTGTTATTAAGGCTAGTAAGGGGCTAATTTAGCCCTAACTAGATTAAAATTATCCAGTCCAGTGGCGTCCCCGAAGACACCTGAATCAATATTTTTTACAAAAAACAACTTTTTTAGCATATTTTTCGTTTATTGCTTCGTTTTTGAGAATAAAATAAAAATAACTTTATTGCATGTATACATATATGTATACCTACAATGGAGGTCCTACATGCAATAAAGTTATTTTTATTTTTTTCTCAAAAACGAAGCAATATACCCTTTACTTTATGAACCTGTAAGTTGAAAACGAAGCATTTCCGGACCTATGTTTATATGAACTTTTCGTCTTAGAATCACTCAAAGAATCGCCCCCTAAAGTTTGGCCAGGTACTTAAATAACACCCTGTATATCGATTTATTTTTCAATATATCGAAAAATATACTGGATGTTTTATTTTGTGAAATTTTGATAAACTAATAAAGAGGTGGGGGGAAATATTTAATCAAATTTTTGACACCTACCCCCTTTCTCTATTTTGAGGGGCGAGGGTTAACTTTGAATTTTTAATAGGGATGTAATACTTTTTTTTTAATTCGAATCTACGAAAAAAATAGGTTTTTGTGCAAAAAACTTTTGATTTACGCTTTCGCTTACGGAATTATAATTTATTAGATTATAATATACTAAAAAATAATTTTAATTTATTTATCAAGTGTTTGGAAGTTAAAGACGATACATTAGTTAAAATTAAATTAATATTAATATTTTTTAGTATCTTAGTATAATTTAATAAATCATAATTCCGTAAGCGAAAGCGTAAATCAAATTTTTTTTTCTCTTAGATTCGAATTAAAAAAAAGTACAACATCCCTATTAAAGATCCCGCCCCTCAAAATAAGAAAAGTGGGTAGGTGTCAAAAATATGTTTAAATATGTCCCCCCACCTCTCTATTAGTTAACCAAAATTTCACAAACAAGAATTAAATCGTTTTCGAAATATCCCCTCGTAACATTTTAAAAAACTCACCCTGTATACCTACCGATACATTCGTAAATATATCGATATAAAAAATATCGATTGCCATCCAAAAAACTTGGCGTTACAAAAGATGAAACTGAAACGGCGTGCGCACATGCCTGCGTCATATTAGAAAATTCTAGCAAAATTCGCACGGTAGCCTAAATTTAAAAAATGGTAGGACAAATTTACAAGGTAGTTTAAAATAAAAAAAAATGGGAAAAATTCGCACAGTACCTAGATAGTATTTATAAATAAAAAAATTATAGAACAAATTTAGGAAATTTTAAGCTTAAAACAGCTTGAAATTAAATTATCCAAAGAAGTTTCACTTCAGCTGTGTGGGTTGAGCGCACATTTTGATTTACCTGGATAGTAGAAAATAAACACAACAGTAAGATAATATACATAATTAAATATGGCATTCGTTTATTGTAAACAATAATTATTTTTACATATGTACAAGTCATTATCCAATAATCATAGTCTGGGCATTGAAAAAAAAATGTGTGGACATAAATTGTTATTAGAGTAAAGAAATAGTAGTAAACAGAATAGTTAAGGTCTGAATAATTCCAGAACGAAGTGACGCAATTTGTTTGTCATAACTTTAAGCAAAAACAATGTTAGTATTTGCGTTAACAGCAGCGAGATGTTGATTTGGTCGAAGGGGGCTAGGCGGTTCACAACATTAATATATCGACAACATATAACAATATAGTGAGATACATACACTTGGCATTGGATCGCTTCTGGACCCTGAGGGGGTGAGACGCGATTGTGTTTTGATCTGTGAAGGAGGATGGTGCATTATTCGTTGTGGTGGTAGTGGTGGTGATGGTAGTGGTGGTGGTTGGGTGCGCTAGGGGAAGCGACTGGGTACGCTGGTGGCAAATATTCCCCGACCAGCTCAGCCCGCCAGCTATAAACGGACAGAGAAAAAAACAATGACTTCAACGTTCCCGACTAACACTTTGTTTTTTCTGCACTACGTTTACGAAACAAACTACGCTAGAAAGGGGGCAACTACGCATTCACTAATTTATTAACTTTGTCTCCAAAAATGTTATTTGTTATGAAATTTATAGCACGGTCATAAAAATATAACGAATACGAATTGTTTATTAATTATAATGTTTTACACGTATAAAAACTAGTTCTCACTAAATGACATTGAACAAATCAAAATAACGTAGATATCCAAAAGTTGCAAAAAAAGAATTAGTGTTTTTCATATCTACAAATATTTTCTACTACATTCACGGATTTAACACAATACAGGTTTAGATATAAGTGTTTGTTAGTAAAAATGGAATGAATTAGTAAGCAATCACCAAAACCACATTCTTAAAGGTATATTTACAATACACGGGTTGAGAAATTCATAAAATTTTGCCATTTTTGTTACTCTGTAACTCTCTATAGAAGGGTGGGTCCTATTTATATAGACGATCTCGGAAAATCTTCATAAGAATGTCAACTTAAGCTAGGTGCAACTGTCTCTGGCGGGTTTACCAATGCTTGGTTAAAGTTCTAGTTTATATACCCATTGTTCTCACAATAATCTAATAGAATAATCTGTCAGTTAAAGTTACCAAAACTCAACCAGAGATTGTAAATTTCAAGCTAGACTAGGGTTGCCACCTTTTCTTGAAAGCCGAAAAGGACAAAGTTACATTATTAAAAACATTTGGGCGTTTACCACCCTTAAAATAAACAGTTTAATATTAAGCATTGTGCATGAATAAAATAAAATATTTATACTTTACAATGTTTATTGAATAACAAATATGTAGGTATGTCCAAAACAAATATTAAGGCAAGAAGCAATATTAATATTGCCAATATTATTGGTGTATTGATAAAGTAATCAATTAGAAAACTTAAATTTATATTTTTTATTAGACTTGGCTGCCTCCAGCAGCTGTTTGTCACCTTTCGCCAGTTCATAAAATTCCGCGCAAGTTTCCTTGAAGTTAAAGTAAATTAGCAATTCTGAGCGAATTAGTTCTGTAGAGCAGTGGTTTCTTTCGACTGTCCATTTGGAGCCCATCACAGAAAAAATGCGTTCTGAAAATGCAGAGCTTGCAGGTATACGTACTTAACAAATATGAAATTAAAGAAAACATATTTGTATGATTTTTTTTATTTTGGAAAATATTTTGGCATTTTTTTGGGGTACTTAATTTGACAAATTTATCTTTAACTGCATATTCTTGAAATTTTTCTGAAACTTCCATTACCTCATTAGCTGGCCATACACAAACGTTATTTCGCGCGGTTTATCGTGGCGTGTTGGGATGTAGCGGTTAGTAGGCACGAAAGAACGGCATGGCAAAAAAAGCGTCATGTTCCATACACTTGATAAAGTATTCAAATGATTTAGCAAGTGATTGCTCGTAGTATATCAGTTTCAAAGGAAAAATCGTATGTGAGTGGGCAAAAAGTGTCACGTGACGCGGAAAGTGGCGTGTGGACACTGCTGAAATGATGTACGCCACAATCCAGAGGAAAGCACGTCTGAAATACCTTCCCGTTCTATCATTGCGCGAGGCGATACTCACTCACGTACATGATTTTCCATATATTTTTGCAGATAACACGATAAACCGCGCGAAATAACGTCTGTGTATGGCCAGCTATTGAAAAGCTGGTTCATATCAATTTGAAGGTTAGGGTTGTTTATTTTGGCAACACTGTTTACGGCTGCCATTCTACCAATAATAAAAATTGCATTTCCCTTAAATAACTTTTAGCCATAGACAAGGCACGATCTTGTCAATGATTTTAGCGGTAAAAAAAATTTAAAAAAACTTGTAATCAGCAATACACATACCTTGCAAAAATATCTATAGATATGCAAAACCCTGTAAAAGGACATTTAGCATTAAAAAAAGAAACAAGGACATTTTATTCAAAAAAAGGACTGTCCTTTCCAAAAAAGGACAGGTGGCAACCCTAAGCTAGACATAAACTGTCAACTTAAGTCATAGGTATAACTGTCTTAAGATTGTCAATTTAATCTAGATATAACTTTTTTTAAATGTTTTTAAATGAGTAAAATTTATTTTAAGTTGCCATACTTACAACAGTTTTAAGAATGACAACTTTAAAAAGCCATAACTGTCTTAAGAATGTCTATTTAAGCTAATATAGCGATTTAAAGAATGTTAAAAAACTCAATTTAAGCTAGGTATCTCTTTTAAGAATGTCAACTTAAGCTAGATATACCCAAAGATAATACCCCAAATATAATACCTATATTATCTTTGGATATACCTACCTGAAAAATGTCAATTTATTCTATTCCATATGATATATTATAACCGTCTATATTAGACTGGGCAAAAAAAATCAACTATTTTTTTTTGAAAAGTATATCGAAAATATTAATATTAAGAGGTCTATCATCGCAATTTTAATTTTTTTTCCCTCAGCAAGTTTTTGTCTCAGAACCCCAAAACCATTGAGTTTAACAAAATAGTATCAAAATTATTTTTTTAAGAAAATTAAATGCTCTACAAAAAAGGTTAAAGTGAAATTTTCCGTCAGATGAACCGTTTCCTTAAAATCATGCCTTAAAAATTGGTATAGTTTTACATTTTGATCTTTTAAATTGGAACTTTGTAATTTATGTAAAAATCAGTACCCATAAAAATATTTTTAAGGAAAATCAAATGCTTTACAAAAAAAGCCTCTCAACATTTTTGGCTAAATTCACCCAATCAAAAGTTATTCAAGGTTAAAATTTCGTTTTGACTTCAAATTTAACCTTGAATAACTTTTGATGGAGTGAATTTAGCCAAAAATGATAAAAGACTTTTTTTGTAGAGCATTTGATTTCCCATATGAATTTTTATCGTTTTTTTTTCGGGTACTGATTTTTACATGAATTACAAAATTCCAAAGTTAAAAGATCAAATTGTAAAACTATACCAATTTTTAAGGCATGATTGTAAGAAAACGGTTCATCTGACGGGAAATTCCAATCAAACCTTTTTTGTGGAGCATTCAATTTTCTTCAAAAAATGTTCTTAAGTCAATTTTGTTAAACTCAATGGTTTGGAAGTTCTGAGACAAAAACTCGCTCAGGAAAAAAAAATCTAAAATTGCGATGATGGACCTCTTAATATTAATATTATGGACTCAAACTTTCACCATAATTTTTTTTTGTCACCCCAAACAATATTTTCGATATACTTTACAAAAAAAAATAGTCAATTTTTTTTGGCCTAGTCCAGTCTATATGCTTCTTAACATTCAAAATCTTCAAATTTTCATAATATCTCAAAATTAAAATCTTTATAAGCATAGCTTCTGTAGTGCGTCCACTCACCGACACGTGCTTAATAGAAATGTAAATTTAAACTAGAAAATCAAAAAACCATATATTTCATTAATTCGCTCCAAATGTCTGTCCAATTTTCAGGATATTTTATTTAAGATTTTCCGACATTGCCTTATAAATTAAGGACCAACATACCAACATCCCGTATGTTTAGTGTACTAAAATATGATAAATATACCAATACACAATCCAATTCAACTAAAAGTTTACAATATCCGTTTCAACCTCATTAAAATTGTTGCTTATTATATTTGGTATAAAAGCTACACACCTGATATCGAATGTCGTCGTTCCGAAGCTTTAGCTGTTCCCCGATGTATTAGGTGATGATAAATGCTCGCGACACCACTCACTGCAAGCCCCATGCAACCACATTAACACGTAACATTTAAAAGTTTTAAAAAATCAACCGAAAAAACGAATTATTCATTTAGTTGTGAAGCCACCCTTAATTCGTGTTCTCGACCAAAGTAATATAAAAAAGTGTGAAGCTCTATTTAAGTGCTACACATATTGTAAAAAGCGGTTTTATAAAAATTGTCTGGTGTTATGTTAATATAAAAGCTTAAGAAAAAGCTTGTAATATTATTAGGTAATAGCGACAAAAAACTAATACAGAACTACAGAAATTTGTAATCATACCGATGGGATGCTGAGTAGACGCAGCGGTTACCGACTGAGCAGCAGTAACCGGACACTCGATAGGATTGGGATCTGGAATGTAAAAGGGACTTCTAATCTAATCTAAGAGAGGAGGCATCGTTAAAATGCCCCGAAAATGGTGAAAAAGTTAGTACGCAGTTTAGTGAAATGAATATCCCTATGTAAAAAATTTAAATTAAAATATTAAAATATCGTAAATGTAATAAACAATAAACCGTACAAAAACACTTGTCGGAAATACGGTGACGCTCGCGCTTGTTTTTATTGTTTTCTTTTATCAATAAATTAAATAGCAACGTATTATATGAATAACAATTATTAAAAACTACTAACGATTTTTTGAACGGACAAATGGTGGAACAAAACAAATGATTTTATGAATGGCATGCATACAAGGAAGAGTTTACATAAAATAATTTGTTACCTTGTTGTAGTAAATAAGTCTTTGGCATGCCAGGGTGTTTTCTATGTGTAGAATTTGGTTTTGAGGACTCTGTTGCGGAACAAGACCTATTTCTACTTTTGGGTCCCAGCTCGTTTGAGCTATTTGTTGTCATGGCACTAAAAAGAAATAAAAATTGTCAAGAGATTTTAAATCGACTTCCGTTACATTTAAATGTTGATTTTGTTTGTTGTATTTTTAAAGTTGTTAAAAAGTTTGTTTAATGAACTTTGATAATTGATCAAAAATATTGGCTAACAGCTTGTCTACAACTTTTTGTTTATTGACATATAAGAAATATAATGTGTCTCATATTTTACAAATATTTACCATTATTCCAAATTATTAATTAATTTTCAAGGTTTGTCATCTATGATTTACGCTATATTTCATGTTTTTAACGATTTTCCATATCTCTTACCTGACCGGGCTATTTACTATTTTTTTTATTATTTATGAATACAAGGTGTCCCTAAACTTAGTGGCATAAATTTAGGACAGATAAAGCAAGTCAAAATCTAAATAAATATTTTTTTTAATTATGTATGTTTAAAAGATACAGGGTTATAAAGTGTTACTTATCGTATCAATTTTTTTAATTTAACTTCTACTGTGGTAGACTTGGAAAGGTAATATTTTGCGAACAGTCACTTACTAACAAAACACATATTAACACATAATTACAATTGTTCGAGTGAACACAGCGTCGTAGAAACAGGGGTTGCTTAAGCTTATTGTCCCATACAAACTTTGAGGTTAGGTTTTTATACCATTTGATGCAATTTTTCGATTACTCAGTTTGGCTACTATTAAAAAGGTGTACCTCTCAAACTTTGAAAAAATAAACCGTTTCCGAGATATTCGAGATTTCAATAATTGTTATATTAATGTTAATATTTGGTTAGTTTTTCTCCATAGATCTAATTTATGGTTTAAACCATAAATTAGATCAATTGATAAGTTCATTACAGGGACTGCTTCTGTCAAGTCTGAGGTAAAATAAATAACCTTTTAAGTAAAAGTAACGAATTTGTTGTCTTCTACCAATTTATTAGTTCGCAATGTTGCCATTTAAAAAATATGTATTTTGTAACAATTCTAGGATTCCTGGGGGTCCGTAGATACACCTTCAAGGTAGTGTGCGACTTCTAGGACATATATGAATATCAAAAAATATAATTAAAAAAAATTATATAAAAAATATTTAAACCCATGTTTTGCTTTTTTGACCCCTAAATACGCAATTGTTTTTATCAAAATATAATTTTTACAACGTTATTTATCAAAAACAAATCAATAAAAACAACAGATAAACGTTTTAACCAATTAATTTCGAAACACATACGATGGAAATGTTTTCAACGTAAATGGTTTTATTACCTTTGCGTATATTTTTTAATATGCTGTTTCGTTCGACGTATTAAATTTTGTAATATTTTTTGATTGTCTAGACGTCTATTTCGGGAATTGGGATTTGGGAATGATAAAAAATTCAGCGCCACCTTGGCTTAATTTTGAAACACTCGTTCAATTTTTTATAGAATGTCATGAATTTTGTAGTGGCGGATTTGATAGGAAGCCAAAACTAGACAAAATAAAATGCATGTTAGGTCTGCTAAAATTGGCAGCGCCGTTCACCAATTTGTTTTCGAGCATGCATCCAGTTCGTGTCACAATAAAAAACAACAAAATATGTATGGTATAACAGTAGTTCGAAAAAATAAGCTTTAATCTGAATTAAATTACTTTGTTTTTGTTTTGTTATGGGTTTTTAATTTCGTAAACCTTTGACCACGGTAGCTTAGATAACGATCGCGAATAACAATTGTATTTTTCCAAAAAATGTCCCATAAAAACTGCGTAAAACGAAAAGCGCGTGTGGCGCCTAGATTTTGTTTTGTTTTTTCATATATGGGTTACGTACGTGTTTTTTTTTATCCCGACTGACGCCTAACATTAAATAAGTTTATTTTATAATAGGTGTGTAATCTTCGATAAACAATCTTTTTGTTTATGCTTACGAAATTTGATACTGCATCGGAACTTCCACTCGACATTAATTATTAACGAACTTTTTATAAAAACGTATCATACGTGGGGTATAATACCGTATAATACTCTTTGTCTTTTACGGTAATACCGTAAATACAGTATTATACCCTTCGTATAATGCGATTTAAAAAAAAGGTATAGTATACCTTCACTAGTTTCTTTGATTTATACGTATTTTTATTTTTGGTGTATACAGCTCATAGCAGCATTCGGTTTTTAAAGTTTTTAAAGTGCCATAAAAAAACGGTATCTCATTTTTACACCAAACATAAAGAGCATGTCTTAGAACATATTTTTAATTGCAAAAATAATCTCAATATAATTTCTCAATTTTTCAAAATTTGTAACGTCAATTGATCTTTCTGAATAACATAACCTCAAATTTGTAAGGTTATGTAACGTAACATACATAATATTATGTTAGTCAGAGAGAAATTCTTCTTCTTCTTTCAACTAGAGCGGATTTACAGCTAGTCCTTACTAACCAGGTACTAGTATTAACGTCCAATGATTTCAGCAAGATCCATCCATCATTGGACAATGGTTGTCCAACAAACACGTGTACACATATGTATAGGTTATACACCCTTCAAATATAGAATTATATAAATTCATCCTTTATAAAAGGACCAATCGAAGAATATTATCGATAAATACAGGAATATTTCTATTCCGGGAATCCCATGTTGCCTCTCCTGGGTTGCAAGTTCGCAGTAATATACAGTTTTATACTGTTTCATAAGTTATTTTATACGTTTTAAGTATAAAACCAATTATACCATATAATTCCCAAACCTGCTAAATTGTAAACAACAAACAAGATTTTGATGTAATTTTTCTGTTTTTATGTAGATTAAATTTAAGAAATAGATTTTAATTGCCAAATAAAAGTTGTAATTTAAATAAAATTAATTTTTCTACAAAAAAAATCTATAAGTAGTATCTATAATTCATATATATTAAGTCCGCAATAGTCTGTAGTAAAATGAATAAATTGGGAAAAATTCCAACAATTTCAACTCTTCAGTTTCTGGCGTATTGGCATAGACCAATGAAATGAAAGTTTGGATGTCGCTGTTGAAGCATCATTTTGCGGTAATAATAACTTTTTTTATTACAAACATTTTTTTCTTTTTACTTTGTTAAAGTAAGACTTATTAGGTATAATTAACTATATTTTATGTCCAAGCGTTCTATAAAGCTTAAAAGCTTTATTATTTTCAACGCTACTACTAAAGTATTCGATTATTCGGCCTAAATTTCCTTTCCTAGGCTGTAAAAATAATAAGTATTTATAACTTTTTTATTTGGTAAAGCTGACTGAACAATTTGGCCTAGATAAATCGTAGTAAATTGTGTCTAAAAAAATAGTTTCCTTATTTATTATAATTTAGCAATTTGTCTTTAAAAGGTTATATCTTTTAATTTAGATTTAATTTATTATAAAATTATTCATTATTTAATGGATAGCAAGTTACTCTAAACAAATTTACAATAAAAAAAATATAATAGTACATTCTGTAACAAGTTTGGAATACAGCATATTCCGCTCGAGGAAAAATTTGACACACGAGCCGAAGGCGAGTGTGACGGTTTTACGAGAGTGGAATATGCTATTCCAAACGTGTTTCAGACATTATTTTCTCTACGACTACGTAAGAATAGTAACGCTTATATAATTTTAAACAGAGAAAAGAAACCAAGCAGTTTTTGACATTTAAGTTTTTGTATTGTCAAACCATTTTGTGCCGTCACAATTTTATAATGTAATAATAATAATAAATTTAAACAAATGGTATGCCTAAATCTTTATTATAATTAAAAATAGTTATTTACACTAACTAATAAAAAAATAACATTGTAACAAATACAAAACTAATTTTACAAGTAATCTATGTCAACATCTATTCTTTTTCTAGATTTTAAAGGTCTTTTTTTAACTTTTTGAATCTGTCAAAACTTCAAAGCCGGTATAGCAGGTAACTGGTTTATCATTTTAATATCAAATTTATTATAATTTTGATTTGTATATTTGAAAAACAATAAATATAACTAATTTTTTGTTCCTAAACCTTAATTATACAACTGCTATTATTTTTTAATTAATAAATAATACAGTAATATTTAAATATTTTTAAATTTTTTACGTTTAGTAAACAGCCAGGAGATGTCGTTACTTGTGACCATTCTTAAACAAGAGTAGGAATATTCTCGCACAGTATTGCAGAAAAACATCCTTTCTATGATCAAAAATTACACTAGAATGTTACTATTCTTAAGTAGTCGTAGAGAAACGTCCTTTACAAATATGGGTATATTTTGTTGTTTTACAAACATTCGAAAAGCAAAAGTAATCTTACAAAAAAAAAATTAAAAAAATTCCGCTGACAACAAATTAAAAAAACCCTAGAGTAGAACAAAAAATATCCAGTTAAAAAATGTGTGTGGTAGACCACCACCGGTAGGTAGCACTTACTGGTATACTGTGGAATGGATATTTTGAGCAATATTTTCGTCGCCAGTGTCCATCCACAACTCCCCCGGCCCAATATCGCTCGATCTTCCAATCTGAAATTAAAAAATGAATGTTACATTTAATATTTGAACCAGGATTAAGGATTTAAACAAGTAAACATTGAAAAAAACAACAATGGAAAGCCGGTTATTAGTATTCTGTTCCTGTTCGAGCCGTAATTGTAATTATTTTAATTGCAAAACAACAAATAACAAAACAAGTTTAATTATGTATTTATTGTTGTAAACGACAACAATCGCTCTGATAACCACTGAAAAATATTTTATTTCGTATTTTTTGTTTGTCGATTTTTTGACGTTTCACTTTGCTATTATGCATTATTAATCCATTTCTATAAAGTCTACATGTACGATAACCTTGAATTTTTAATAGACAGCCGTTTTTTAAACTCACCAAGAGACTTTTAAACCGAATTAATCTACTTGGTGTTTACGTAACAAAAAATATGTAAAAATATACACATTTTTATAAAAAATTAATTATTTTTAGAATCGTATTGGGTAAAAAAAGATATTATTTTTTGTACTCTAATGGGGGGCATAACAATTCGGTTTGTCAAAATCGCATAAAATAGTATCAAGTTTTATAAACGCCATTTTAGTTTTATTTGGCACGAACGAAGATTGCGAGCAAGTGTTTAATAAAAACGTGTGTTTATAAAACGAGTTGCATACTACATTTTATCTACGACGAACAGAAATAAGAATTTAAAGCCAATTTTAATTTATAAATATTTGACATTTGACGAATTTAACCTCTCTTCGTGATTAAAATGCCCAAAAGCCACTGTTGTTAACTTCAGCCTGTCACTAAAACGCCATAAAGTCACAGCTAGTCAATGTAGGAGTAGATAATAGTATAACATTATGTATCAAGTTTTATAAACGCCATTTTAGACACGAATTTAATTTAGGCACGAGCGAGCTTGCGGGCGAGTGCTTAAATTAATGAGTGCCTAGAATAGTTTATAAAAGAGTTTCATAGATACTATACTTTTTCTACGACAAATACTTCTTATTATCTTAAAATGATTTAAATCAAATATTTGTATAGAGCGCCATCTATAAAACAATAGGGGAATCTATGTTACAGTCAAATGTCAAATTTGTATGTGTATATATACTACTATATATATTTTTTTTATGCTGCCAATTTTTTATGCACCTATAAAGTAAAGCTTTCTGAACAATTTGGCATAGAGAAATCGTAGTAAATTGTATCTAAAAAAATAGTTTCCTTATTTATTATAATTTACTGATTTGCTTTTAAAACGTTATATGTTTTAATTTAGATTTAATTTACTATAAAATTTGTCGTTATTTAAAAGATAGAAAGTTACTTTAAACAAATTTACAATAAAAAAAATATTAAGGTCGTTTAAAAATATGGGGTATATTTTATACGCGTAATTATAAGCGCAATTTTAAACCAAATTTATTGTTTCAAAAGCATTCGAATTTAAGAGTTCAAAAAATAAAAGCAAAAGTAATCTAAAATTTGTTTACCAAAACTTATTGGTACAAATTAGTCCTGGAGCATAAAGCAATAAATTATTCTCCGTGGGATTTTTTATGAAGGGATGATGGGACTATAAGGAATAGCTTTTTTATACCTTTTTGAGTTGTGTGGTACCGGGTGTTTACCTTGAAAATATGTCTGGTGGGGTTTATGGCATTTCTAATCCAAAATGTCCACCATTTTCGACATTCATTTATAAAAGCCAAATAATTAATTTTATTGTGCCCTTTGAAATAAATTACATTTGACAATTTTTGATTGTATCAAAACAATTGTATAATTTTATGGGCCGTCAAATTTGATGGCCCATCAATTTTTTAAGCCTCTAGCAACAGTGACTTTTTTTAAATAAAACTGTTTTAGCAAATTTAAGTAGTTTCATTGGTTGCTTATAAATTAAGTGTGCCTTGACTTTATTAATTTATGTTTACATAGAACTGTCAAAAGTATTTTACGATTTTAATACTTTTTTGCTGTTTTTCTTAATTTAAGGTATGTTTAAATTTGATTTTATATAGTATTTTATTTAATTTAAAAGCATTTTTAATTTCTAAATACTTAATTTTAACAGTTTTCTTTTAAAATATTTACTATTACCTATTTAATTACCATTTCCTGTTAATTATAATTTATTACACTGTTTTACAAGGAAAAATAGAAACTTAATTTTAAATTTTTAGGGTGATTTTGGTGCGCTAAACACAAAAAACTTTTTTCTTTTTTTTTCTTATTTAGGCCCTTCACCTAAATGACGGTATATTTTTGTTTTTTAATTTAAGATTTTACTTAAATCAGCATCGAGAGGGTATGGGAAATCCGATATATGCCAAATCCGATATATAAAGGTGGGTAAATCCGATATATAAAGGTGGTTAAATTTCGCATCCAAAGTTAAAATTTCTTGCAAAATGGCTCCAAATCGATCCATGCAAAATATAAAAATATAACAATGTCAGTTTTAAAAGCCAATATTTTCTTAACCATTTGAGATAAAAAAAAGTTTTAAATAATTTTTTCCTTTTTTATGGTTATTTTAAGAGATTATATAATTTTTTTTAAATAGGACCACTAATTACGATATTATGCGACATTTTATAAACGGATACCTTAAATAACAGTTAGGTATCGGATTAATGACGTCATAAAAAATTGACACATTTTTAAACAAAACACCCGATAATACACTACTGCCTTGTGTATAAAAAACTGATTTCAGATAGTTTCATCTTCCCTTCACAAAAAATCCCACGGAACGCACTATGCTCCAAAACTAAATTGTAATAATATCAACAAAAAAGATTTTTTTTTCCGCTGACAACAAACCAAAAAAACCCAATAGTAAAACAAAAATATTCCAGTTAAAAAATTGTGTGGTAGACCACCACCGGTAGTACTGTGAAATGGATAATTTTTGGACACCCTGTATAAGACTGTGGTAAAACATTTTAACTTCTACCTATATAACAATTTTACACTGATATTTAAAATACTAAAATATTTATAATACAATAGTTTATTATGTATCAAGTTTTATAAACGCAGTTTTATTAGGCACGAGCGAAGCTTGCGGGCGAGTGCTTAATAGAAACGATTGAGAAGTTTATAAACAAGTTGCATACTATACTTGATCTACGACGTTTTTTGTCAATTTATAATAAAGCTAACTACAGCCCGTGAATAAAAAGCCCAAAAGTCACTGTTGCTAACTTCAGCTAGACTAAAACGTCAAAGCTTGTCAATGACATTGTATTAACTCAAAGTCTGTGGAACAGGCTGTTATTTTCTTGCGAAAAGGACAAACTTGTTAAGACTAAAATGCACACCTCGCCCATGTTGAATCATAAGAGGTGTGTTCAGAAAATATCGGGAATTTTCGTTTTTTGAAACAAATATTTATTTATTCGTCTACATTAATGTTGTCGCCTTCAAAATAGTCCCCATTGGATATTATGCACATGTGCCAGCTCTTCTTCCAATACTCGAAACACTTCTAAAACTTTGAGATAGCCTTTAGTTCTTTCAGCGATGCGCTTTTAATGTCATCTATGCTTGCAAAACGACGGCCCTTTAAGGATCTCTTTATTTTTGGGAATAGGAAAAAGTCAGACAGAGGCATGTTTGGCGAATATGGAAGCTGGGGCATCATTACAGTATTGTTTTTGGCCAAAAATTTTGTTCAAAATTTAACAATTTTAGATCAAATTTTGCTGCCACGCTTTTCATACCCAAAACATTCGAAAAAATTTCATGGGATGAGCCAATCGATATACCAACATCATCAGCGACTTCTCTGATGGCTTTATCCATTTATTCCACTTTTTCCATGTTTTTATTGGTTGTTAATGTGCTTGTGCGTTCGGGGCCTTCGTCATCTTCAACGTCTTCACGGCAATCTTGGAAACTCTTATACCAATTGTAAACTCTTGTTTTACTTATAGCAGACTCACTATAGGCCTTTGTTAACAATTGGATACAAATTCTTTGATCCATTTCTTTTAACGAACGAAAAATCGCCGAGCCCATAAAACACGTCTAACCTTAGCGACTGCCACAGACAAAGTAAACAATGAGAACAGCTAAAGTTTTTATCATACTTCGGGGGCATGTATACCAACATAATAAAGAAAATTTTATGACAACCAGACCCTCCGAAGCCGCGAAATTTAACAATTCCCGTTATTTTCTGAACACACCTCGTACATATAAGGCAAAACGAATCATCTCGCCATTGTTGTTGTATGCTTGTCCTATAAAGATTGTTTGTTGTTCGCCATTTGGGCCGACGCATACGTCACGTCGCATTGGCAATGTGTGCATTGGCCGACCTAAAAACGGTCAATTGTAAAAGGAAATGGTTGCGTGCGGCATTCTTCGCATGCCTGACTGTCTATCCACTCTGGCCGCCGCCGCTTCTGCACCAACACAAAAGTAATGGGTATAGCAGCAGCATGAATCGAGGAAAATTATTATTTGGCACGGCTCGACGATGTTTGTATTTTTTGCGACAAGGTAAAACTTCTCTGACCAGCTAGACGAAAACATCGAGATAAATTACGCAACCGAGGCCCGAATGAAATATGCGTCTGCTCCGGTTTAAATTAAAACGATTTCCCGACGACCGCTGCTCGTTTGTCGAAAATTGCGCATTTTTCTTCCACTTTCAAATGAACGTTGTTTTGTTATCACAAAAACCATACAGTCAGCAGCACACGTGTTTTATTATAAAATTCAAGTTCAACTTCCCAAAGGTTGCCTGCCGCTCAACAGCTGAATAATAGGCGTGCGTGGGCGGGTTTACGACTTTTCTCGCTTTTGCGATAAAAACATATTTTTACAATTTTCCTTATTACCACCGCGTTTATTTTTTACGACCAAAGTTAATTCGAGAATGGCAACGCGCAAAACACCAGACGTCATCAAAGGTTACTTAACTCGATTCGCGAAGGCGTTGAACCTTAAAAATCCGCCTTGCAATTATTATTTGGCAGTCACGTATACATTTCCTTTATAAAACCTGAATTAAATACCCAAAACCGGCAAAATACTACTTTCTTTTACATTTAAATAGGTACCTTCAAAAACACCCAGCATCGATTTACTCCTTTATGTAGGTACCGCCATAACTTATTTCAAGAAGAAATGTTAAAAGTTAATTTAACTAATATATTTAAATGTATAATTTTATTTTTATTTTTAGTCATAACATTAATTAAGTTTGATAAATGCCATTTTAATCACGAATTTAATTAAATGAGTGCCTAGAAAAGTTTATAACGAGTTGCATACTACACTTTTTTACTTAATATTATCTAAAATAGTATATTATGTATCAAGTTTGATAAACGCCATTTTATACACAAGGTGCATACTATACTTTTTCTACGACAAATACTTATTATTATCTTAAAATGATTTAAATGAAAAATTTGTATAGAGCGCCATCTATGAAACAATAGGGGAATCTGTGTGTCACCGTCAAATGTCACATTTTTACATTTTATTAACACAGATTATAAAGGTCATAAATCGAAATGTATTTCTTGAAAATTGACAGTTTTTCACGGTGAAAGTAAAGAAAATGTTTTATGAGGACTTTACAGTGGAGTCCGTGCCAGAATTTAAGTTATAGTTTACTGCCGGCGAAATTAAAAGGTCAGTACAATGTTCATATAAACTTTTCAAATATTGGCTTTGAGAAACTATTTGTATTTTTGTATTTTTGTATTTAGATAATAAAATAATTTTCACATTTAGTATTATTTTACAAGAAAGGCACTTTATTTTAACGATTGTATGACATTTGACAACTGTCAACTAACTTAAAACTAACTTCAGCTCGTGACTAAAAACCTGTTGCTAACTTCAGCCCGTGACTAAAGCGCCATAAAGCCACAACTTGTCAATGTGTATTAAATATTTGTTTAAAGCGACATCTATCCGATAATAAAGTAACCATCACAATTAACATTTTTGACGTAATTTTCACCATTAACATTGCCCGTTATTATTTTAACAATTATTGATACTTTAAAATATTAAAATAACTAAATATTTTTTCCTTTGATTTTTTTTTATTACTATAATTGCAAAATATGATTACAAAGTATTAAAAACTCGTACACGTGAAATGTTAATTAAAATTTCTAATTTGAGAATTTTTTTGTTTAAATCAAAATTTATCCCTTGAAAATAGACTAACAATCGATATAGAACCAGTTTTTTAGAATAAAAGAGAAGAGAATGTTTTATGGGCATTGTACGCACAATTTTTAACACTTTATCAGTTAAATCTAGTTAACTGCACTACTACGGCGAAATCAAATGGTTCACTCTCTAAAAATGAATTGGTCAAAAATGACTAATTTATTAGTTATTAGTTGGCTGCTTTTTCACTTGTATCATGGTTAACCATGGATTACCATGGTATCCCAAAATTTAACAGCCAATTCTTATGTAAAATTGTCCCCTGAATAGTGGCTGCTCTTTCACTTGTACCATGGTTAACCATGGATTACCATGGTATCCCAAAATTTAACAGCCAATTCTTATGTAAAATTGTCCCCTGAATCCGAAAATACCATAAAAAATTATAAAAGTGGAGCAGTTTTTAAGATATAGTCAATTCCATATTAAATGGAAAATTGACTATATCTCAAAAACTGTTCTACTTTTTTTAAATTTTGACGACATTTTCGGATTTAGGGGACAATTTTGCAAAAGAATTGGCTGTTAAATTTTGGGATGCCATGTTATTCCATGGTTAACCATTGTACAAGTGAAAAAGCAGCCACTAATAACTATTAAATTAGTCATTTTTGACCAATTCCTTTTTAGAAAGCATATAATATTTTCAAACATTGGCGTCAAGAAACTATTAAATGTAATTTTCATATTTAGTATTATTTTTCAAGAAAGGCACTTTATTTTAAGGATTGTATGCCATTTGACAACTGTCAACTAACTTAAAGCTAACTTCGTGACTAAAGCGCCATAAAGCCACAACTTGTCAATTTGTATTGGAAACATGTACGATAATGGGATTTTTAAAGGTGGGAGTAGAAAAAAATCATTAAATGGTAGGTACTATTTTTTGGTATAAACACATATTATATTGCTAGACATTCGACATAATGTATATTTATTTTATTTTATTAAATCTTTTTTTTTTTAGAAAACAACCTAGGTATTTTTTATTTAATTGTAAACCTGTAAATACAAAAGTCGCTTTTTAAATACAATTTTTTTTTATCGAAAACACCCTATTTTTGATTTAATTGTAAAACTGCAAATACAAAAGTCGCTTTTTAACATACATACATATGTATGTAAAAGTGATCGTTGTTTAAATTTATATCAAAAAGGTGCACAAACATAAGCAAGATGTATGCGTATACTTACTTCCAGCAGGACGTACTCCTTGAGATATCCGCAGGTGCGGATGCTTTTCAGTGCCAAATCTATGACGTCGTTGCTGTCTTTTTTTATGAGCTTCATTGTTTTGTCGGTCAGACAAAGACTGTACTGGCCGATGATTTGTGTGGTACCAACGCCTCGATTCATGATCTGGATGTGCCAAACATGTTCTGAAAAAAAAAACAGAAGATTATAATATTATTATTTATTAGCTAAATTATATTATAATAGGTTTGTTTACTTGTTTATCAAAAGAAAACTTAATTAACTCAGCGAAAACAACTTGGGAAAATTTGTTGTCGGGGAGAAATAGACGCTGGAGCTGAAAGGGTGTTTTTTTCTTTATTATGTAACGATTTATGGTTTTATTTTTAATTTATTTAAAAAATATTTATTATGCACAAAAAAGTGAAAGAAGTTGGCGAGAAACCTGCACTACACTACATATTTTAGCTGCTATATACCTATAAAGAAAATATTTTAATATTACCATTTTTAAAGAATAGAATTTTGAAACGAAAATATTTTTTCCAAATTATAGTATGAAGTTGCAAAAGTAGGTACAGTAGGTTATGTGCATACATTTATTCTACAGTTACCTACACTAATTTCAATATATTTTCATTATTGTACGGCGGTGTAAAATAATTTGACTTTTGAACTACGAACAAATATGAACTTTTTATATTATAGGGTTATGAAAATTGTTGTATGCTTGAAAAAAAAAATGTATTCCAATCACAGACCACTAAATATTCCAATCAAATATTATTTTATACAGGGTGTCCCATAATTAACGTGCAATACTTTAACAGCTGATTCAACGTACAAAAATGTGAAAAAAATCCTATAAACATAGGTCGAGAAATGCTTTGTAAAGGAGCTAAAGCCCCCGAAAGAGAAGCCCCTGAAGATGGTTTTTATAAAATTTCTCCAATACCGTTCAAGATACAGGTGACATTTTGTGCATTGTACCAGGGAGTTTGATCATATCTCAAAATTTAATTTTTCTATCTTGAACGGTTTTGAAAATATTAAATAAAAACCATCATCAGGGGTTCCTCTTTAGGGGGCTGTAGCTTCCTTAGGAAGCATTTCCCGACATATATGTTTATACGAACTTTTTTCCTATTTACAAACTTTGTTTGCACCTGTTTTAACCTTTAGAGTCCAATATTATTATAAATCTAAACTACCGTAATTAAAATAATTTAGATATTTTAGGATACACAGCAACATGAAAAGAGCAATTAACATCGAGAATAAAAATTTTCCCGTGTCCCAGTTAATACAACCGAAATTAGCAATTACCTACAGTGTACTTTGCGAAAATTTGTGCTGACGCTGTTGAAAAGTAATTAACAAGACTAGACATAATTATCTATTAATGACAGGCCAAGTAGTGTCTGGTCCGAAAAATGCAAGGTCTTATTTTTTATGTTTACATTACGCTACGTTAGGTCATAATTGACGGCAAGCCAAATTATTCAAACAAAATCACAGAACAAAAATTTTGAACGGGTTTAAACTAGCGCGAATTTGGCTCCGCGAGGTTAATGTATGTTGTTGTCTTTAACGTAAAAAAAATTCAAAAAGTTCAATTTTAATAACAATTTCCTCTGCCATAAAAATTCAGCCAAACTTTGTAAGGACTAATTTCCCAAACAAGTACGTATGCATCATTAGGCGCTTTGATGATTTTAAACAATTAACGTTTATTTATGAATGTTGTTTTCGTCGAAGAAATTCCGCTAAATTTAATTTCTAAACACAAAAGAAAATTTAAATTTGTTTATACGGCGACAAAACTGTCGATAAATTTTCGTTTGAAGTTCCGCGAATCTGCGCCAGCGGAAAACATGTTATTCAAATTCTTTTAGGACAGCGCGCCCGGTCACCGGCTATAAATTTAACAAACAAACAAGTAAACAACCATTTAAAGGGACCCCGAAAACACCAGTTTTAAGAAAAACACCGTAGGTAAACGACCAACTTAATTGTCGGTTATAATGTTTAAACCAATTAAAATTTAAATAAATAATTATTATACCTACATAACAAAATAAAAATGTATCAGTAACCAAATGTATCTTGAGAAAAAAAACAAAATAACACTACATATATACAGGTTGTCCAATAATTAGAGTGCAATAATTTAACAGCAGATTATTCTACGTAGAAAAATAGGAAAAAAGTTCCTATATACAGTGTGTCCACGGATTGACTTTAATATAGTTGTAAAAATATTTATTTTGAATTTTTCGAAGAAAAGTTACTCTTCATAATTTCTTCTGTTTATTATAAAAATACCATTTACGATGAGAAACTTCTATTTTGTTATACAGGGTGCGCACAAAAAATACAATTGTAGATTTTGCAAAATTAAAAATTGTTAAATTTTTTTTTTAAGGTCTAATATGAAGTGCTTTTAAGGAGAAACCAAAAAGCCAAATAAAGTTTTTTCATGTAAGTTGTAACTAAGATATTTGTTAGTAAAAATAATTCAGGTCCTAACTTGAGTGGTCCTACTATTTTGTAGAAATTGACTGCTATCTCATTTTGTGATTATGACTCAAGGTTGTTGCTTTCAACTGACATATCTACAATGTCTACAATTATTTGTTAAAATTTGAAAACTAATATCTTAAATTTTCAATATCAAATATCTTAGTATCAAAAACTCATATGAAAAAACTTCATTTGACTTTTTGATATCTCTTTACCATCCCTTTATATTAGCGCTTCAAAAAACATATTTAAAAAATTTAAATTTTGAAAATCAGTATTTTTGCGCACCCTGAACAACAAAATAGATGTTTCTCAAAGCGAATTGAGTTTATATAACAAGCAAAAGAAAAATGACTTTTCCTCAAAAAATTGAAAATAAATATTTTTACAAGTACACTGAGAGAAAAAAATGGTTTTTATTACCAAATCTGCATTTTTATAACCAAATGCTTTATTCAGTATTTGACTTACAAACGGCTACGTTATTAAAAACAAATGATTAGCTTCAAGACATTTGGTCATATTTACTTAATAATTTGTTTTTGGTTATTAAAACCAAACCAATTAGTCGTAATAAATAAGTTATTTATTTATAAGAATCAAATTTTTATTTAAAAAAAATATATTTATTTATAAAAAACAAATGATCTTTTTTTGTTAACAAATCGTTTTGTTTTAAAAAATAAGTAATATACAGGGTATTTTAGACTTGTGGTGCCAAAAGCTCAGGGGAGATTCCTCTCAAGTATGAAAAAAAGTTTTTATGAACATGTGTCCGAAAATGATTCGTTTCCGAGATACAGGGTGTTTGTTTTTTTTTAATTGAGTTTTTTATTTATAGCTTAAAAACACTTTTTTATACATTATTATGATTATTTTTGTAACAAAAAAGTATCAAATTTAAACTTTTTTTTAAATAAAACACCCTGTATCTCGGTAACGAAGCATTTTCGGACACTTGTTCAAAGGAACTTTTTTTTCATATTTTGATGAGAGGAATCTCCTCCGAGCTCTTGGCACCACAAGTCTGAAACACCCTGTATTATTAAAACAAAACATGTATTTTTTTAATTTAGCGTTTTTATAAAAATTAGGGTTTTCTATATTAAATAACACTCGGCCATTGATAACAATACATTTTATTTTAATAAAAAATAAAAAACATTTTCCTTAAAAAACATGTTTGCAAACAAAAACTTTTTTTTTTGGTAAAGTAAACTAAACATCTTAAACTTAAGTAAACTAAACATCTTAATTTAAAATTCTTAAACTTAAAAAACATAACAAATTAAATTTTGGGAGGTGATGGCAGCCTTTTTATTTCAAAAATATTATTTTACCTTTAAATGAGGAACTTAACTCTGTTAAATTATTTTCAATCAAAAATGTATCCATATTTACCTAATTTAGGTATAAACTATACAGCACGTCCGGACGCGTCCACTCCCTTTGCACAAACTAACACAATGGCCGAACTAAAGCTTCTACGGCGAATAATCAACGTGTTTTATCCTGCATTTGTTTTTTATAAGCAAGCAACAACTCGATTTATTCATACAAACTCTATTTGAAAATGGTTTATTATTATTAAACTATATTTGTTTTTTATAACCAAATACAGTGAACCAAATCATTTTTTCAAAATAAACTTAAGTAATTCTGAATATAGTTACTAAGAAGTGCTGATTTGGTATATAGAAGAATTATTTATTATATTTTACCAAATATATTAAAACAAATCATTTTTTAACTATACCCAGACTATTTCTCTCGGTGTATAGTTAAGTCCATCCGTGGACACACTGTATAAACATACGTCGAGAAATGCCTCCTAATGGAGCTACAGCCCCTGAAAGAGGAGCCCCTGATGAGGGTTTTTATTTAATATCTCCAAAAACGATCAAGATAAAAGAATGAAATTTTGAGAATTGATCAATATTTTTTCTTATTTTTATACGTAGAATCTGCTGTTAAAGTATTTCACGTTAATTATGGGACACCCTGTATTTTATACTACCTATAGTATTTGGAAATGCTAAAAAAAATCTAAAAATAAATCTGAAACTAAAGTATTGTTAAATTTATTGGATGTAGAGTGTCCGTCTAGAACTCTAGATCTATAGATGGTTAACTGCGGACAGGGGCGTAGTGAAGGTTCCAAATATGGGAGGGGGTGATTTTTATTAAACTGCCGACTTTTGAATTTTAATATATAAATAAATACGTTAGATTGATTGCATAATTTAAAAAAAAAAAATACCATAGACATTGTGTGTTTTGCATGGAAAGGAATTAAATACGCCGGTTTCAATATTAAAAATAAAGTTCAATTTTTTAACCCTTATATAATTCGAACTTTTTTGTGATATACTGTGGGTGCGCCATTTTCCGGACACCCTGTATATGTCTTAATATCAAGTCGATATTATCAATATAAATAAAAACACTTGTCTTAAGAATGCCAAATTAAGCTAGAAATAACTTTCCTACGAATGTCAACTTAAGCAGATATAGCTGTCTTAAGAATTACAATTAAAGCTAGATATAACTTTCTTAAAAATATCAGCTTATGCTAAATACAAATGTCCTAAGAATGTTAACTTTAAACCTAAGAAAATCGACAAAAAATTGTTTGGTTTTAATTGACAAAGTTTCTATTTTA